GCGGCCGCCCATGGCGCCTGCTGCCCCGCGCCGCCCCGCACATCCGGGCACGCCGCCGCCGCCGCCGCCCATTGGCCAGCGCCCACACGCTCCGCCACCCTCGGCGTCTCCCATTGGCCAGCGCTGCCGCGCGTGAGGGTGCTCGCTCCTCCGCCGTCCGGCCTCGTGCCGRTCCGGACGATCGAGTTCCGGGGCACGGGGCGCCGCGGACCGTTCCTGCCGCCGGGGCCGCGAGGGAGGGAGGCGCCGCGGGCCCTGGGCCGGGCCCTGGGTCCCGGGCCGCACCGGGCCCTGGGCCGCACCGGGCCCTGGGCCGCGCGTGGGGCTCGTCCTGACGCGGTCCCCGTGGGCGCCGCTTCCCTTCCGGACGTGCCGGGGCGGAGGCGGGGCGCGCGGGGCGCCCTGGGAGCGCGGCCATGGCGGAGGCGTTCGGGGACGAGCTGTTCAGCGTGTTCGAGGAGGACGCGGCCGCCGCCGCCGCCAAGAAGAGCAAAGCGGCTCCCGATGCCGCCGCGAAGCCGGGGTGAGGCCGCGGCGGCGCCGCCCGGGCCGCGCGGGACGAGGCTGCGAAAGCCGCGGCCGTTGGCGCGGGCCTGCGCGGGGAAGGCCCGAGCTGCCCCCGGAGCGCGGGGCGCTGCTGAGGAGGGAGGCGCGGCGCCAGCGGTGTCCCTTGTCAGGCGCGGCGCCAGCGGTGTCCCTTGTCAGGCGCGGCGTCACTTGTGTCCCTATCCTGCAGGAAACGACCGGAGCAGAAATCCCCGGTAGCGGCTCCAGGGAAGTCCAAGCGGGAGGCCGAGGCCAGCAGTATCGAAGATGCCGCTTTGGGGAAGAAGCCTAAGTTGGAAGAAGCCGTATCAGAAGATGTTAGGTAAGTGCCCTAGCTTAATGTGCAAGGGAATTGGAACAAGGCTCTTGACAACTACCTGACTGCTACTTGAGATTGGGCTCTGTAGCCTAGTAAGAGCAAGATGCACTTGCTAATGGGTTTGATTTTCCCCTGACCATGTAGGTGAGGTTGTGGTAGTGACAGCTTTGGCACTGGTGAGTGCTGGGCATGTTCACCAGATAGCTCAGCAGTGCAGGTGGGTAACTGCAGTGTGAAACGTTCATACTGTATTTGTTGTTACTGCAGATGGATCAGTGGTTACTCCCTGTTGCCACCATGGTGCTCTGAGGCACGTAGCAGAGGAGCAGTAAGGAGAGGAGGCAGGTGTGTGTGTGGGGAGTACTGCCTCACTGAGAGGAATAATTGGCTTGGGATACATGAAGAAGAATTTGACAAAGAAGACTTAAACAGTACTTATTTGCCTGACAAGGTCATACCTGGAGCATTTGGAATCAAATTCAGGCATATGTTTACATTTCCATATAACAGGTATCTGACCTGGAGAGGGGCCAGGCTTGGAGCAGTTGACAGCTGGGACGGTGGCTGATAGGAAGCCAGCTCACAGTTTCTGTGCTTTGATATCTGCATGTCTCTCTCTGCTTTCCAGAACTTCATATAAGTATCATGAAGGTTTTGTGAAAGCAGGTTGTGTGGACAGGTCAGGAGCTCCCTCGTCTTAATGYATCCAAAGAGATTTTTGGGAGCTTGAAAGTTTTACGTAGGTCAAGGAAATGATTAGGTAGGTTCCCAGCATAATAATTCATCTACTGCTGCTAAATACAAGCATAYGCTTTCTAACTCAAGATATGGAAGATTCCAGAATGGAAATATAAACTGTGTGCTTGCTGTCTCTGGGTGCCCTATTTTTGACTTCTGTCAAGCAGAACTGTGAGCAGAACAGTGATGAGAAGGCTGCTCAGAACATTGTTAATGAAGACTGCTGATATAGAAGCACAACAGAACTAGAATTAACATTTTAAATCACTTTCTGTGATAATTATGTTAGTGGTCTTCTCAGGAAAACATGTACTTGCCCACAGTAGTTTTGAAAAATAATTATGTTAATATATTACAGTGTKAGAAGATGACTGCTTTTTATGTAGTGAAACACTAGCCTCTTCTCRTGGTAGTAAAAGGTAAAGAAGAGAAGAGGCCTCTCATTTGGGGCTGCTGCCTGGGGTGTTTCAGGCTGCTGGTTCTGGRTGTCAGGATGACTAACATGAACACAGATCTTGAATTTGCTTTGATAGATATTGACAAATTTGCATTCACATGAACATTCCGTTATACATCTGATCCTAATGTTGCATAATGTGAGACTTAAAATTGTTGCAAATTAATAATGGTAGCTAAGTGTGCTTAAAAGGTGGTAACATCTTAGCGCTTACTGCTATTCTCACCACTTACTAGTAGTTATCTCTACCAAGGGTCCCTTTCAAGTTTGTGCATGCCTTTTTTAGTGTTGTGGGTAAAGTAGAGGTAAAGTTCAACATTTTTCTGCTTATAAAGACAATACGGATTTAATGGATTTGGCAATATTAACTTGCATGTTTTTAGTCTGTCAGACTTGATGCCTCATGTGAAGGTGCAAGCTGTGGAAACTGTTGAAGGTTGTACACATGAGGTGAGTGCACTGAGAAATCATATGAGAAGCGTAGACCTGTTCTACAAGAAGTTTTCTGTGTTCACTGAGTTTGTGAAGGTGTCTTGAGAAATGTATTATTGTCATTTGTTATTTGTATTTGAATATTTGTTATTCTTACTTGCCCACATTGCATTACAAAATGGAACAAGCTTGTAAAGAGTTGGAGGTATAGATATGACACTGCATTTGCAGTGAAAAAAGAGAGTGAGATATCTGAAACAATTTGAATGACATTTACAAGCAAATGAGTGATTGTAGACAATTTTGTTTGTGAAATGTGCAAAGTGTATTTTCACTGCTGCTGTTGAGGAGAAGAATCTGTTGGTGGTTGAAATAGTTCTGTGTTTGCTCAGGAGCTCTTTCAGATTTTTCACTATGGTTCAGGAATGAAAAACAAAGGTTTTAATAAATCTAAAACTGATTAATACTAAAAATGACATTCTAGTAAAGAGGATAAATAATGTTCTTCTACGTGAAAGCAAAGAAAATATTTATTTTCAAATTACGTTAACGCAGTTTAAAAGACTAAAATTCAGAAGTATTAATGCTGACTTTGTTTTAAGTCACCCTCATTTGGAGGTGTTTGTTAGGAAATTTATACTAGAATCTCCTAGGCAARTTGTATCTTCCTGTGCTTGTATGCCCATCTGCTCTGCTGTCGGCCAGAACTMATGCGTGTTAATTAGGGTCACATTCAGTGACCCTGTGTTGTGACACATTTTTAATAAAAGACCTAAAAAATTGTATGTACGAGTGATAATACAGGTTTTAAAGACCGTGCATGTGCACAGTCYTTCTTGCGTAGAGATTTCAGTATAGCTTTGCTGTAGTAACTGAAATGGACTAAATATATGCCAATTTATATCTATATCTAGTTTATTTCTATAGATATAAATCACATAGCATGAATGTTATATCTAGCGAGGAACAGGAACTAATAACATCACACTCCCTTTCCRTGAATGGTATGAATGAAATAATATCTGTTGGTTAGAAATCATGAGTGTCTTGGCCTAAAGAGCTATGTTGCAAGTAAGACAAAGCACAAATACTTCAAACAGTGTCAGAGAAATGATAGAAGGAGTATTGTTGGTAATAGGAGAGGAGAAGGATTGCTTGAAAAACTTCTATTCGACAGGGAAGGAAGGATACCTGACATGAGCTCTTAAAAATAAGATAGCAGATTTTTATTTTTTGTTTTTATGTATTTGCATCTCCTGCTTCCGCTCTTTTTAGCTTACCATGTTTCTGGTGTGAATGTGGAGAATTCCRCAACTGTTTCTGTTTAAATTTATTTTACTAGGTTGCACTTCCTGCAGGAGAAGACTTCACAGGTCTGAAGCCGAGAACTGGAAAAGCTGCTAAAGTATGTGGTACATTGAATTTATTTTCATTTTGCATGCGCTTTAGGCAGTAGATGAATGGAAGGGGAAGTGATGGACTTTATCAGTAAGACTTGACAAAAAGAATATGTTAAAAAGGTGATCTGCCTTAAATAAGATAGGTGTTTTATATTATAGATTGAGTAAAATGATGTGGTTGAATCAGGCAAATAAGTGGTTGTGTTTCATTGCTGTTGTATTGCTGCGTTAGGCCATACATGAGCTAAAGTGGGATGCTGTGGCTTTTCTTCCTAACTTAGTAAATTAGAGAAAATCCAGTTAGAGGGGCTAGGCTTTCATTTGATACAACAGGACTTCAGCAAAGATCTTGGGAACATGGATGTGTTTATGAGATAATTATTTAAATAAAAAGTCATTACAGAATATTGAATTAAGATCAAATGAAATTGTAAATAAATACATGTTTTTTTTCACTTATGCCTATAATTTGCATGGTAGGTCACATGGACAATCAATTGTTATAGAAAATTGAATGTTATAGTGTATTTTAAGTATTTAATATTTTTATTTTCTTTAAGTATTTAATATTTTTATTTTCTTTCTTCTTAGGAATATCCATTCATTCTTGATGCGTTTCAGAGAGAAGCTATCCTTTGTGTGGACAACAACCAATCTGTGTTAGTGTCAGCTCATACATCAGCTGGTAAAACTGTATGTGCAGAGTAAGTAATTTTCATTCTTGCTTTTCTCTTGCTTTGTGAATAAAGRAAGAATCAATTAATGTTTAAGTTTGTTTTATGTATTTTTAACATGTTTTTAGAGGTGCTTTTGTTTGCTCAGAAGGAAAATTTCAGTAAATGATTTATATGATTTTAGAAAAATCGTATAGCCCCTGGCTGTAAATATTAAGGAGATTCTTGGGTGTTTTCATGTCTTTTTCTGGTGGAAACATGATTTGATTTAATTTTYATCATGATGTTTATTGGGCAGGATATGTTTAAAAGATGGTAAACATTTTTGTCATGACTTGTTGTAACAGCAGCAAGAGGGTGCTACACTAACATGAGAATGGAGATGCMCATGTAAATTAATTAGAATGTGGTTTCAGATGATGGTACTTTGTCCTGCCATTGTGCTCCTAAGAATGGGACAGTGACAGCAGGATTTTTTGATTAAATGTGCTCTGATGTCCATCTAAATTGCTTGTCAATGTTCTGTTATTCTGCAAAGATGCAGATGTAATTGAGTTTAGATTGCGTTGAACATAAACTACTAATATAGATATGAAGCRTTTCATGTCATTATTAATGTTAGGAACTAATTTATTTTTAACTTAAGGTTTAGAGGGAAGTAACTGTGATTTTCTTCATGACATGCTTAATGTGGTCAATGTGTGAATGCAGGTATGCAATTGCCTTGGCCTTGAGGGAGAAACAGCGGGTGATATTTACCAGTCCAATTAAAGCTTTGAGTAATCAGAAGTATCGTGAGATGTATGAGGAATTTCAAGATGTTGGTTTGATGACTGGAGATGTCACCATTAATCCTACAGCTTCATGTCTAGTAATGACAACAGAGGTAAGATCAGATATTATTTCTTGATCCTTTTATCCTGAGAAGGTTCAATATTAAAARATTAAGGTTATTATTAACAAGCTCAGTTAGGATCAAAAGTCTTTATAGTTCATTATGTTTGCAGCTGCTATTGCCCTTGATTTAACTTTTGATTTTTTTTGTTCCTTCACTGTTTATATCATAGAAAATTTGTCATTAAATATGAAAAGTGCTTGTTATTGGTGTCAGTTTTGGACGTCCTCTCAACCAATGTTGCTTTATCTCAGTTTTGTGCAAAATAAGGTTTCATAGAGCCACATAAATATGAACCAAAAATWAGGGCAGTTGCTTAGTGACACCTCTGTAACTTGTGACTGTTCTTATTCATACGGTGGCTGTTTGGCAGCTACTTACAGTGTTTGTTTTTCTTTCACTCTTCCAGATTTTGAGGAGTATGCTCTACAGAGGTTCTGAGGTTATGCGAGAAGTTGCATGGGTTATTTTTGATGAAATTCATTACATGAGAGATTCAGGTATCCAGTATTTTATGATTACTTCTCTCTTTTTTTTTTTTAAGAACAAAAACTTTTCTTTTAAAGAATTAAGTCTTTTATTAGCTCTCTTTTAAAATCATCAGCAGGCATAAACCAGTCAGAATTCTGCTTTCTACTGAATGTATGAAAGAGTTATTATGTGTAGCATTCTACATTTTCTTTGCCAAGGCAGAAGCTATTTTGGGGGCATGTGCTTATGTATGTTTGTGTAGGTAGCATTATATTTAGTTCTTGCCTTTCTTGTTTTTGGAAACAGTGCTCTGGTTTCAGATCTGAAAAATAGGCTTTAACCACATATACTTCCCATATGACTGTTCCTGACGTTTCCATTTTCAGAACGTGGTGTGGTTTGGGAAGAGACAATTATTTTGCTCCCTGACAACGTTCACTACGTGTTCCTTTCTGCCACTATTCCCAATGCCCGTCAGTTTGCTGAGTGGATCTGCCATCTTCACAAACAAGTAACTTCATTTTCACTGCTCTCTACCTCCATCCTTGCAGTCCTGTGATATAATACTGTCTTTTTGGCTGAGGAAAATTGAACTTACTTTTTGAACTATATAATTATTACTTATTAGATAATGAACTGATCTCCCTTTTCTTTGCTGTACTCCTAGCTTTCACAGTTGTACTTTCTGTTGGCTCTACATAGTGACATTAAAGATATTTCTTTRAAGTTTAGCTGTGCATCCAGAAGCAGTCTCAGGACAACATGATAAGTACCCCTCACCAGTTTTTATGACCTCTCAGCATTACATTCTGGATAATTATGTTTGCTAAGTTAACACCTACAATTCCAAATTATTTTTATCTTCTCCTTGAAAATCATACAGTGAAGRTCACTGATTATGTTGTGATTCCTTTTCTAAAGGATCAGTGAACTCTGCTGTTGTCCAAAATYGCAGCTGGCTAAACTGAGTTGATATGCATTAAAGCTTTATTGAAGGTTTGTGGCATTAAAGAGAGAAAAAAGACATGCAGAATTTCTGGAGAAAATCACTGTCCTTTCCAAAGACAGATGGCTGGAAAGTCAAAAGGTCTTTGGAAAGTCAGGATTCCTGGAACAGGCAGTTGGAGAGAGCAGGTGGGCAATGCAGGAAAAGAGGGAAAGGCAGAGCAGAGGTARTTGGAGCTGTCAGAGCGAGGTCATCCCGTAGTCTTTCCACGACAATGATTTCAATGATGACAGTCCTTCCCAAATTGAAGATCATTTCCACTTCTAGACAGTGTTCATCCCTTGGCTTTTGCTTCCTTGTCTATGTGGTGCTAAGTGTTGGATACTCTTCCCAAGCTGTGGGCAGGAGCCKTATCCTGTGCTCTTTTTCCTTCTTTAGCTTTTCTTCCTTATTTTAGAGTAATGTTTTTGCAACTCCCAGTGTTGCATGTTTTACATGAAGGAGTTGCTTATAGTTCTTTGGCCTCTGTTTTGAAGCTGTGCTTGTGCACAGGCCTTTGATGTTGTACCTCATAAGAGCCACCTGGTCCCAATTTGGTTTGGATTCCCACAGCAGATTCTTATAACAAGCTTTCCATGAGGACCTTGCACAGCTGGCACAAGAGAGTTTCTGTAAGACTTGGGATCTCTTGCTAGCAATGGCAGTGCTGGTACAGGGCAACTGGACAACTCTGTTTTGGAGAAGTTGTTGAGAGAATCTGATAGGAAAGTCATGCACCAAAATAAAATGACAAAGCCTTTGGTAGTAATACATTCTGGGCTTTGTTTTGTTTCTTTGTTTTTTCTTGCAAAAAAGTGTAAGGATTATGAGAATTGGATTTGGAGAAGTTTCATATCCACAAGAGGTTACTCTAATTTTACAGATAACCCTGTAGATTGGTTCTTGTGTGGTTTGTATTGAAAAGAATGTAACATAAGAGATGTCTGCTCAGGCTTGACACCGAACTCTGAGTTTGTGTTGCAGAGCTCTACGCTGCAATTTTCAAAGCACGTTTACGTGATGTTTCATGTTCTAAAAGTTCTGTGCTATTTCTAAACAAGCTCTTTTCCAGTGCAGTATTCGGAATTCATACAGCAATGACAAACCAAACACAAGGGTAAAGGAAGAACGGACCTATTAATACATAAATATTGTGAAATTATGTGCATTTCTTTTAGGATTGGTAATTCGAAGCTTAAATAACAGAGGAGACTCCTCRGGTGGAATATAGTCTTTAGATTTGTGATGAAATCTCAGTGTTCTAAAAAAAYTTATACTGTGCCTTTTTTAGGTGGTGTAAGCAGCGCTGCAGGCAATTTTCCAGTATAGAAATTAGTAGTTCTTCCTTTGGTTTTAAGGAGTTTTTAGAATTCTGAGAATATATAATAATATGCATAAGAAATCATTACTTGTTTTTACTTTTTTTTTCCTGGTGTATACGAAACATTTTGTTGCCAAATTGTTGAGTTCTTCAAAAAGATAAAAAAGCTGCAAGTATAAAATATTCAGGAAAGAAACCCTATTATTGTAGTTTCTTTCAGTCTCATTTCTGTCTTTTAGAGATTTAATAGTACTATATTAGATTTCCTATCCAAAAAGTATTTTTAGAATGCAATTATAAACCTAACATACTTATGTATATGCTGTTCTTTCTTTCTAGCCTTGCCATGTGATTTACACAGACTATCGACCCACTCCACTGCAGCACTATATATTCCCAGCAGGAGGAGATGGACTCCACCTCGTGGTTGATGAAAATGTAAGAAGTATTCCTTTGTTGAAGACCTTTTTACCTACTTTTTTTTTTTCCCCCACACTTTGGGCTGGTTATATAAATAATGGTTTGTATTAAAAYGAAGCACAAATGAGTAACAATTTGCTGCAGATCTGGTAAAGTTGCTTGTTAGCTTATGGATTGGTTTGTCCTGCCTGAGTGGTCCTACATGTGTGAAGCACTAGGTTAGTGTTTTTTGCAAGAAGAGTTAATTGCTTAAAAAGGTTGTTTTTTATATCTAGGGAGATTTCAGAGAAGATAATTTTAACACAGCAATGCAGGTGCTTAGAGATGCAGGGGACTTGGCCAAGGGGGACCAGAAAGGCAGGAAAGGAGGAACAAAAGGTAAGTTTGAATCTCATTCTTAAGTAACTCCTTTAATGTAACTTCCTTTAAAAAAAAAAAAAAAAAAAAAAGGCATAAAAGTTGTAGCTTCATTCTGTAAAACGTGTTTTGCTAAAGTAACTTTGAAATTAATATAATCTATTTGCAGGTCCTTCAAATGTGTTTAAGATTGTGAAGATGATCATGGAAAGGAATTTCCAACCTGTAATTATTTTCAGCTTCAGTAAAAAAGATTGCGAAGCCTATGCACTTCAGATGACAAAGTTAGATTTCAATACAGGTACAGATAAATAATATATAGCTTTTATTCCTAATCGTAGTTTGAGCTGAAACATTTTTTTTTTCTGGTTAGATAGTTTTATTTCTTTTGAGGCTATTTACATAGGGAAGAATACTTTGACTTGGACGTCTTCTTTTTCATTTACTTCATTCATTTGCTATTTCATTTATTACCTTGTGCTATTCGCAGTAGGAAACCGTTGGAACACAAGGGATACTTGGTCATCACAATATTGATCTGCTGGTTTATTTTCAACTTCTGTTCTTCCAAATCCAGTTGACTGTCGTAATAGCACAAAAGTTTCTAGGAAATTCTATGTAGAGTTTCTAGGAAATTCTATGTAGAATAGGAAGAGAGTTTTACAAAATGTTCATGTTATGGCAGCAGACATCTGAGTATTTTCTCAAAGTCTCAAAAGAGCTCTGGAACAAATAGTGCAAACTTATTTCTCAACCATACACTGTACTTTTCTTTCTTTCCTTCCTTCCTCCTCCTTCTCCCAAAAGAAGTACCCCAGCAATAAATAAGATTTGTTCCATTTTGGATAAAGACCAAACTTGGAAAATAAGTTAATGGCTTCTTGGAAATGTTAGGAGTAACAACAAACTTTAGGGAGCTGTTATACATAAACAGCTCACAAACATGAGATGATATGTTGAGGGCAGGCTTCTTGCTTGCTTACTTGCTGCAATCACAGCAGCTGCTTCACTGCTGAAATATAATGAAACTACTTTATTTTAGAAGATGTAAAGATCTACAACAGTGTAGAGCTGGATGTTTGTGCTCTTTTTTCAGGCCTGTCTTTGAATATATTACTTATTTCTACTGTTTAAATATGAAGCATGTAAACTTTAAGAGGCAAGAGGAGGAACCCGTGTCCATGCAGACTGGGCCTCGTAGTTGGAAGAGAAATACTTGATGTAGTTTGTCTATTTCATAAACCTCCGAGCTCAGGAAATTCCCTGAGCTTGAAAATAAATGAATTCTGGATTATTTTTCCAGATTTGCTCTGTTCTTGTTTTTCCCTGAACATCTGCTGCTGGTTACAGTTCAATATGTTGGGTTTGACATTCAACCCTTGCTCCCCTCATCCAACATGGGTGGTTTTGTATAGATTTCACAATCTTCCATTGCCATTTTCATTGCAAACTTCTGCAAATATTAGAACTTAGTGATGCTTTTCATAGGGTATTAGGCTCTTAAATTTTGTAATAAATTACAATTTGTCCTTTTAGATGAAGAAAAGAAGATGGTTGAGGAAGTATTCAATAATGCAATTGATTGTCTATCAGATGAAGACAAAAAGCTTCCTCAGGTGAGTGGAGATTGAACAGGGGTAACTGCTGTGTCTTGTTTTCTGTTATTCTTTTCTGTGTTCCTCATGAGGTGAGTGCAAAAGAACACGTGAGCTGCACAATTGTACAGGTCTCCCCGCATCTGATATCTCCCCTATTGCTCCTTGGTGTCGTGAAATAAGCACTCAGTGACTGGCATTCCTGCCAGTTGTGGTGCCAGCAAATGCCATGTGCCAAAATTAACCAGGCCTTTTGGCATTATCTTGTGCATAGGAGGATCACTATTTCCGAAAATTAATTTCTGTCAGAGATAATTTTTTAAATGAATACAGACAAATAGTGATTTTATATATATAAATTAGACTGTAGCATCACAGTTGGCCTAATCCAATGCAAAATTACCCCTCCACTGAAAAGGTTAGTTCATGGTTTTACCTTCTATCCTATTCCTAGCTGTAATTGAAAAACAAGATTGAATGGGTATTTAATTTTATCTCAGTTTCAGAAAATGGCAAATTATGTGAACAGCAGAGTGATGTTGAGGTTTTTCCTGCAGGTTTTGTTTTTAAGTTGAGTACATTCAAATTTGTTTACCAGCCTTAATATCTTCTTTCCAGGTAGAGCACGTACTTCCTCTTCTGAAACGAGGAATTGGCATCCATCATGGTGGGCTGCTTCCTATCTTAAAAGAAACCATAGAAATTCTTTTCTCTGAAGGCTTAATAAAGGTATATTTTGTGTCTTGAGGTTTTTCTCTGTTACAAATACACAGTCAGTAGACCTAACAAACCAAGCAGTATACTTTGCCTCAGACTGTATGTAGATGATCTGCTTTTTAAGTGAAAAAGGGAAAAAGACTCATTGCTCATTCCAAATTGAAAAATGTTTTGATTTGTATGTGCTTCTGTGCAAGAAGAACTTGCCAAAGCTTTTTCTAGTATTCCTTACACCAGTAAGCAATCTGTTTTAGAAAGAACCAGATAGATATGAAGAGGAAGATTTTATTCTGTGGATATAGGTAGTGGATTTTACCAGGGGTTATGGCAGCTTTGAAGGCTCTTCCAGCAACATAGCTTAATTGGTGTAATTGGCTGCAGCTCCCTTTCTTTGATGTGCTTTAAAAAATATACATGTTTTTGTAAATGCCTTTATCTGAAAAAGAAATCTTGAAGATTCCCCCTGGCCCCTGCTCTGTGTTAAATGTTGATAGTCTTTAATACTTTTTAGATGTCTTAAAAGTGTTTCATACATCCAGTGTTCTAAATTTTACTCTGAAGTATTTAAACTTAGAATATAGTCTATACTTAAAATACTCTGAAAAACCTAGTCTTTATATATCTGCTGTTGTATGGAGTATGGGTAGGTAATAGTGCAATCTATTTTCTTATATTCTTCTGTCTTTCTGTCCTTGTTTTTCTCCTAGCAYTTAATGTATTTATAGGGTTTCTGTCTTGTTTTTGAGTCCATATGGTCATTTCTAATTAGTCTTTATGCTTTTCTTAGTGGAAAAAAGTGGTTTGTTTGTGCTGCTAAGCCTGCAAATAAGGAGGAAAGTCTGGAGAAGCTTTGGGTAGCAACCTCTGACTATTTACATGCTTGGTTAAGAGCCATTATTTTTGCTTGTTTAACATCAATCTGTTTGTTTAGGCTTTATTTGCGACGGAGACATTTGCTATGGGAATTAACATGCCAGCCAGGACTGTGCTGTTCACAAGTGCCTGTAAATTTGATGGGAAAGATTTCCGATGGGTATGTGAAGAAACAGGTTCTGTAGATAAGACTGAATTGCAATATTTAAGCTCTTGTTAAGATTAAATTTACTCTTGCTATATTCAGTTCAGTGTAACAAGAAATATATTTTTTTCTTTTCAAAGTCTTTCTTTATTCACTAAGCCATTTTTGGTTAGTGGGCAAATTCTTGAAGACAAAACTCATAGTGTATGCATGAGAGATTATCTTAGATACAGTACAAGGAAAAGGACATCAAACACATAAGTCAGAGATGAACAATTATCCTAAAGGACTTTTGTACAAGTAGTCCCTAGCTAGAAGAATCTGGAGAACAATTTGCCTTAGTATCATATGACAATCATGAAATTTAGCTTTTGGCAGAAAAGAGATCATTTACTTCAGGACAGTATTGATTTTTCTGTTACAGCAGGATATCTTCACTAGCCCAGGGAAAGATGTCAGGAGGGAGAGTCTGATTATTAAATAGTTGGATCTCAAATCATTTAAGCATTTTAAAGCTTAAAACTAAATCTTGAATTAATCTATAAATTTTAATTGGGGTGTTCAGAGTAGGACACATCACAAAACACTTTGTAAACAAGCTTATTTTTTAGACATGGGAATATTCAGGCAAACAGGACAAGTAACAACATGTGCATGTTGAAATAAACATCAGATCTCTAGCTTTTAACAGACATTTTGTTATGTTTCTTGCTTCTTTGGGTCTATATTTGAGATACCAGCTGTGTGGAGTTCATGCTTTTAAAATGATTTATCACAGTTTTCTTAAGTTTTGGAGATACCAATTTAGGTGAGACTCAGAAAGTTGCTGAAAATGCAAATTTCAAAAATGACAAAAAATTGTTTTAGATATGTATCTTTATTTTGATTTTGGAAACCTAGAGAAACGTATGGAACGATGCAAGAAATCATTGCAGCTAGATGTTGATAAATGTAGCTATGAGAGAATTGATTAATTTATCCTACTGATACATGGTATTTGTGATCTTAGTGATCAATTGTTATTAATATTGAATTYGGTCTGTGAAAAGGCAGTGTCTATATATAACTTTGGTGTAACATTGCAGACGTCCACTGTATAATTGCATTTATATATTTATATTTATATGTAGCATTTTATATATTCTTGCTGTCTTTCTAATATTTATTAAATCCTTTTTTCTTCTTCTCCCTTCTGTGCTAGATATCCTCAGGTGAATATATTCAAATGTCAGGTCGTGCAGGACGCCGAGGAATGGATGACAGAGGAATAGTCATTCTTATGGTGGATGAAAAAATGAGCCCAACAATTGGCAAGCAGCTTTTGAAGGTAGGAGAGAAGCTAATGGTTTGATGTTGTTTTGTTCTTTCTTTCCCCTCACTCTTCCTCACTAAGGTTGTCAGTGAATACTGTAAATAAAAATTTTGTATCTAGGAAAAGAGCATATGTAAATCACCCAGGTAGGAAATGACAACTTCTAAAAGGACTATGATGTTCTGCTGAATTCTCATAAATCAAGACTTCCTAGCATGGAGCAAAATTCAAAAGCTTTGTTCAAAAAAAAGTCAAAATTAAGTTTGTTCTTCGATATATAAAAGGAATTTCAGGAAGGAGAAGGAAAATTGTATTTTATGTTTTCTAGTGATAACACACATATTCTGTTTGTTTCTTGCTAAGCACCGTCAGTTCAAAGATCCCGATGAACCAGAAAAGGTTCACTGCACCATCACAAGAATAATTAAGTGGTTGGTTCTGTGGTGAAATAAAACCTGGATAATGGACCTTTCAGTTATAGACAAACTGAACAAAGTCATGCAAAAAAATTTAGTTGCATGTTTTAATGGATATTTTTGCCCGGTGTTAATGTTCATAAAGACTAACTGTATCAGTGGCTATTTTGGAATCAAGAGKGGAGAATTTTTGGAAGAATCATGTTTTCATGGTTTTAAGGCTTTGATAAGTGCAAACCCATTGGTACCTGCATTATTCCCCTGTAAATGGCTAAGAAAAAGAAGACAGTTGTCAGGGAGCTTAATTTAACTCTGAGGAAATCCACAGTCCTTATAGGAAACTTCTAGAGATTTGCAAATAAAAAAGGATCAAAAACTGCCCCTGCGGTTGAGGTAGCCATTAGGTTGTAGAGTTGCACCAAACTGTAATGGCAGTTATTACAGATGATTGCAAAATTACTCTTACTTTGTAAACTGAAAATTAAAACGTTGCACTTAATTCTTGCCTTAATTTCCATTGCAAACAACAGCGTAGCTGAAGCATTGAATTGAAGCAATATAATTGAAGTATACTGTACTGTGTGCATTAACTGTCTGAGGCAGCTTACATTAACTGTGCAAGTGCAAAAAAATTATACATTGGAATAATTATTCTGTATGTTACTCAGGACTTTGTGTCCTTGTACAAATAACAAGCCATTTTGAGTTCAGATTCTCTCTAAATATATAAGATAATTATATATTTGTAAATAATTACATATTATTTACTTAGTATTATTATCTTTTATTATATTTTTGGACCATGTATAAAACTATGTCAGTCAGCATCAGGGTAGGGTTTGCACCAAAGAAACATCAGATGCCAATATTTCTTTATTTTCCTCCAGCAAGAATAAAAGGAAAATAAGTAGTTGGCTGCTACTAGTTATGCAGACGTGGATACTTCATGTTTTGTATCTTGCTCTGTTAATGCCACTTGCACTTATTATAAATTTACATTAAGTCCTAGTTATAAATGGATGCTCTTTGCCTTTTCAAAGTCAGAATACTCGTGAATGCTGCATTATGACTGTAACTAATCAGTGTAGTAAAATAAGAAACCTGAAAAAATCCTGGAATTCATTCATGTTGATTCATGCATGGCCAGATTAGGCCATTTATCCTGTTAGGATTTATTTCTACTGCTTTATTGGATTTGTAGCTCCTTAATGGATGGGAAGGACTTATGCCATATGTTGACATGCACACTTAAAGCATGTGGGCATCTCTGAAATATGCTAAAACTAAATATCTTAACTGCATTTCTATGCAGGAGATACTGCTTAGATGGAGTTTTTTTTTTTCCCCCTCTGGTTTTGTATTAATTTTATCTGTTTTTATGTAAGGAATATCCTTATGTAGTTCATTTATATTAAGTAATTTAATGTAAGAAAGATGGCTGTTCTGGTTATTGTGAGACCTTCAACCAYTCAGAAGGTGGGCTGTGTTTTAAATTTTTAATTTCAATGGTTAGGGAACTGCTGAACTTGGTTGGCATGATTTATGACAAAACAAATTAAGTTCACAGCTTTTGGATGGCTGTCTAGATTTTGTGGAAATAATAAAGAATATTTCCTTTATTGAAAATATAAGCCCTTTGATCTTCATTTTTCCCCCTCGTGAATTATTAAAAAAACAAAAAAAGGAGAAATGATGTAAACTTTTTCTTTTAACTTTCTAGGTCATGTCTTGGTTATTTTGCAGTCATTTAAATAAAGTAGTGAATTGCAWTAACTTTCTTCACTAATTCACCTATGAGCAAAGACTGAAATTAAGGCTTCTTTGAAAGAGATGGGAGAAGGCTGTAAGAGGTGCTAATGTTTCTGTCATTACTGTGTCTATTATTAATTGGTGAAAAGCACTAAGAGTAAGTTGAGATGAGCAGTGCAACTTCAAAATACTCATGTTCTTTTTTAAATATAACATATTTAGAGGTGGTTTTACATGGAGACAGACCAAGAACGTGTGCAGCTGACATCTCTTGCAGTATTTGCCTTTTGTGTTCATGGATAAATATGTTTAAATTATGATTTACTTACCGCCTGCTTGAATATATCYGTGGTAAAATCATGATCATGCCTGTGTAAGTATCTTGCTGCCTCTTGAAACATTGTGCCCTTGCTGCAGTAGCAGCTAAAGCTTTATAAGGAAAAAAAGTGTGGGCAATGATACTAAGCAGTATTTCTTAGGAGGACTCTTAATTCTTACTCTTCAACCCCAGTGCTTTTCTGATGCAAAGCATTTTCTGAATGCTAGAATAAGAAGTCTAGGCAGCTGATAATAATAGTTGTTAATCAATAAGAAGTCTAGGCAGCTGATAATAATAGTTGTTAATCAATAAGAAGTCTAGGCAGCTGATAATAATAGTTGTTAATTGCGTGTTTGGGCAGGGGACAACCTTGTATACGTCTGGGTACCAGTAGGGCTACTGCAGCTGGGTTGTTTGGCCATGGCCATGTTCATTGCGACATTGTGTACAGTACTCTTCTTCAAACCTAACTTCAGAGTTCAAATCTGAGATCAAGCTCTTGTGATGGATATTTGTAAACACTTCTTAAACTCTGTAGTGTAGAGCTCTTTTCTGCATTGCTCTTAGATTTTCTGTTTATCCCTACCATTTGTTTGACCACCAAATACTTGGTAAACTGATGACTTGCACAAAGCTGTCAAGCTAAATGCTTACAGTACTGTTGAACAGCCTTCTGAGGACAATAATTTTTTTTTTGTTTTATTTGCATAGTATTATTAAATATTTGATTTATTTGTTTTAATTAAAATGGGTAGCTGCATTATGTTATTTTAGGTAGGAAGGGAAATGTTTCCCCTTGACACTAGATGGCCTTTGAGTTCATGACGCTGTGGTTGGAGTTGGCCGTGTTACAAGCATGGGCTCTGACAGAGACAGTTGGGGTGCTAAACAGCGGTAATGTCCCTGAAAATCAGAAATTGGCAGTTAATTACATTATAGAAATGAGTAATTATATAATAAAAGAGAATGTGCTGGGATAAGTAGGTTTCACATACATGTATTTGAGTGTATCAGTGTTTTGCATCTACTTATTCCTTCCCAGGAAAAGTCAGATGCACTGAGAAAACAGGGAAAAAAAATCCTAAAAAACCCCATGTATTTAGCCAGCTAAAATGCACAGTGTTGTGCTGGCCATGCCACTTGCCAGGCCACGCGGCGCCCCGTGCCCGGCTGCCCCGGGCTGCGTCTGACTCCTTGGCGGGACCYTCGCCTTCGCTTAGGGAATTGGCAGCACTTGTGCTCCTGTGGCCTGTAGGCTGCTCTCAGCAACYCCTCTGGTCTTTTGGTATTTCCCTTTGATTGTTAGGTGCAAAACTACCTAACCAAATGGACAGTATAGAAGTTCAGACAGCTTAGTACACTTCTCTTGAATTTCCTATTTACGTGGATTTCTTGTATGATCTCTGTGCAGTGCGTTGTTGGAAAGCGCTGATTTTGAAAGGACAAAAATAATTGTTTTACTGTAGCTACAGCAGCTCAGGCCCTTTCAGACCCCAGGTAAAAGGAAAATTATGCTTAGTATAAGAAGCAATATTTACATAAGAATGAATAGATTTACGCTGATCAAAAGTAAGCATAAGGATGGAAGTGGTGGTGAGGAGACGAGAAGTTTCAACTATAAGAGGCAATACTTAGAGTAGGATCTATCTGATAAAATTGCAAAGTGAAAATACTTTTGCATAAGACACTGCTATAATAATAATAAAACCTCTAACCACTAGTGTCAGTATGAGTGGGTTTCTAACTTTAAAAAGTATAACAGGTTACTAAAATCCCTTCATGGATCATGAAAAAATCCTACTTTACGTGATATTATAAAAAAATCTGTAATAAATCAGAATTCAAAAAACCCATTGGTTAAAGTGTAGGGGAGGTACTATCTTATGCAGAAATAATTCACTTAATCTTTCAAGGTGAGATTTCTTSTCCCTTCTTTCATCTTGTCTGGTACTGGCTGGTCAGGTAGATGATAAGGCTGCTCTTCTATTGCTCTTTCTTGCTTTTAAAATGAACATGCCCGTGTGTGCTCCTGAATTGAGAAACAGCAAAAATGAACCAGAGCAAAAATACTGATTCTTATGAATGAGGATTTTTTTTTCATCTGTCTTGTTTTAACCTATTTAACCTGGTTAGTTTTTAGCTGTTAAGGTACTGTGTGAGCTTAGGAAACTCTAGTTAGTAATAAATCCTTTCTACTTCTTTTAATCTTTTTTATATACATTATCACTATACTCTTGAAGTTATTTTAATGTGCTTTTGATCAGATGCCTTCCTGTAACTAACAGATGAAAAATCATTCCAAGAGAACAAGTTTCTTTTTTTGTTTTCTCCTATGGTGAGATTTATTTAAATACAGAGTTTTCTTTTTGCTCTTTCAGATTTTGCTATATAGCCAGGCAAGATGCCCAAGCTTAAAGGGCCTCTTTAAAAGGCAGAGATGCTTTTTGTGGACAGCTGCTGCTGCAGGCAGGACCAGGGAGCTGGTGGCAGTAACTTGTGTCACCCGCGTGAGCTCGAGGGACAGTCSGATGCAGGCGAGAGTGGAGCTGCTTTTTGCACAGGCTTTTTTGGCAAGAAATGGTATCCCACATGTCTACGTAGAATGTTTTCTTGGGCAAGATATAGTCATCTCTATTGAAATTTGGATAGAAAGGTACAGATGACTGTTTTGCTGTTATGAAAAAAACGGCTGTAGAATCTTTTATACTCTTGGTTATCCATCCCATTTAAAGCTGTGCTGTATTCAATTTTTTAATTTATTTTTTTCCCTTTGGTTTTAATGATGATTCTAGAGAAAGTGCTATTACTTAGGAATGAGTAATAAATAACTGTTTTTCATTAAATCTAATTATTGGGGATTATATACCAGACAGCTGGTTAAGTCTTCTAGTTMGACTGTTTGTCCATCAACTTTGAGTCCCTCTACAAACACCAGATTAACATTCCAGTTTGTTGTAGTGTTGCACTTCAGCTTGAGCACTTAGAGCTCATTCACACGAAACTAAAAAGCATCAGGATTTGAAAAATTGAGCCTAGTTTGGGAGAAACTTCAGCTGGGGATCATCATTAATGGCTTGTTCAAAAGTCCATTGCAAAATCTAAGGAAACAGCTTATTGTCTCAAGTGGCTAAAGGAGAGTGTAATGTTCTGTGTACTTCTTGTAATGTGACATAGATGAGAATCTCAATGAAAAAAAGTTGACTTATTTTTTTTTTCAAAATCTGAATGAAATGAAAAGTACTTTAATGTATTTTTTTTTTTAATTCCTAAGGTTTTTGTTCCTAAGCTTGCACTGGAGAAATTTTCCAGGCCCCAGTTCACGAAAATCCAAGTTGCTTGAAATCAACAGGATTTCAATGTGAAATCATAGAGGGAATTCAACTGTTCAAAGGAAGATATATAGTCAAATGCCATCCTGAATGAGGTCATAGGCTGGTCTCGATGAGCTTGAAGGTSTTTTCCAACCATAATGGTTCTGTGATCCTTTAGTTTTGCAGTCAATGATGCAAGCCAGCAGATAGAAAAGAACAGCGAATAATTCTGCTTTTGGTTCTTCACAGCTAAAATGCGGGAAGGCAGGACACATAAAACGGTTAGTCACTCTTGGACTTTAGTCAGCTTAGCTGAGAAAACTGAAATGGTATTATTTATTAGTTGTGGTTGCAGCTTGTTAATACCACAAGTTACTTGAAGTTTTGTGAGGCTGGTCTGTGGGAGGCACTTTTCCCTGCTCTGACCGATTCTAGTAAAATTTGATTTTAGTTAGGGAAGCTTGTCACTGCAAAGCATGAGCAATTTAAATACATTTTGAATGATTAAACTAGAGGTGGTTTTTTTTTTTTTTGTTCTTGTTGTCTTATGCTTAAAACAAAAAGTATGAGTTGATGATTAGGCAAAGGGTTTTTTTCTTTTTATTAATATATGTGTGCACTGCAGGAGGTATTAATCCTAGTCATGCACAGGTAGAATACTACTGACTCCTGGGTCAGGATTAGTATTTGCTTTTAGTTAATTTAAGTATAGCATTTGTGTTAGATAACATATTGATATTTTTAAGTATTTACTTAAGGGTTTTAATACCCATTATTGAATGTGGATACCTTGCTARGTGCATGGAGGAGTTTTGGTTTGTGGCCTCAGTTTTTGGGGTGCAGCTGCTTGTGGGGCGCAGGAGTGACCAGGTTGGAAATACMTTTGTGCTTAAAATAGTCACCTGGCACTGTCTGCTGAGAGCAATTAAAGAAGGGGTTTTTTTTGTTTGTTTTTTAATCATGTTAATTCACTTGTCTGGTGATTTGCTTTGTGACTGTAGCAAGAAATTGTTTTGGTTTCGTTTGTATTAGTGATGACTTTCATAGACAGTTAAGCACACATATTTCCCCCTCATAAGGACAAAGAAAAGAGACCTTTTAATATCAYGGAAAACACTCTGTTCTGTGCTGTAGTTATAGAGCTGTTTTTTGTTTCTTTTCTGGAAACACACTCATTCGACTAATCTCTAGAAGCTCTGGTAAGTAATAAAATTGTCAGCAGACCAAATGGCCTAAAGCGTGTCCTGTAAAGAATCTGACTTGTATTGCTGGGAAATGTACTTCATTGTTGCTAAAAGTTGCCCTTTCCTTCTTGGCTGGTTTTGCCCGTTTTTGCCATTTTCGGCTCCCTGTGAGAGCTCTGTGCATGTTTTCTGTGATGGGCTGGMCCACAAAGAAGTTGGGGGCGAAATTCTCCCACGTCTGCTTAGACAAGGGCTTCCCAGTCTTAATGGTAATAAAAAAAAATCAGTGAAATTTATTAATATCAGTTCCAGACACTTCTCTTCTTCCTCCCCCGACAGTAATCTTCTTTCTCCCCTGTCTTTGTCTTCGTAGTTTGTGCAGGCAAGAAACAGTAAAATGGGCTACTAAGTGCTCAGCGCACTGTGTGAAGATTTAACTGTGCAAGAAGAGGCTCCATTCTGAACCTTTGATAATTAAAGAGGGCTCAATATGTATCTCTTGCTGTTTTCACATTATCCTCAACATAGTTATTTGTGTAATGAGTTATTTATGCTCTTTTCCACACTCTGGGCAGTACCTTTGTGTCCTGTTTATTTTGGTCCTCCAGCAGTTGTGCCTACCTTTATCTGCCGGGAGGGGATCATACAYTGGTCATGTTCTGTGTGCATTTAATACAGAAGAACTGTATTTTGCTATATGGTTTCCTAATGCAGCTGGACWCTGTGTATGTTGTTGTTAGGTCATTGGAAAGAAGGAATCCAGGCAGGTGCTGCCCACTAAATGCAGGTCTGTGGGTTGCCCATGGGAAATCAGCAGAGGGTAATACACCCTGCAGAAGTCGCTGGCTGTGCAAAAGCGTAACATGGTAAGGTTGCACGAGTTATATTTGGGTTGGAGAAACAACAGCTTCAGTGTTCAGAAAAAGAAAGCCTCTCATAACTGCTTTGGACCAACTATTGCCTCCAGAACAACTCTGGGAATATGGAGATTTCTGAAACTCGGAGAAAAATGTATTTGTGAGATGATAGAAAAGAAACCATTCATTTTTTTTCCCCCAAAACAGGGTTATTTTTAACTGCTTTGTCTTCATAATATGATTTTCATATTGCAAAATGCKGGTCATGTTTAAAATGCAAATCGCCACATCAGCAGTTGGCTWAAGTGCTGCCTTTCAAATAAGCCTGCTTTGTGTAATCTTTCAAGTAGCTCTTTTCTCTTTTCCATTGGTTTTTAAATCGCTCCCTGTTCCTCGTGGAGCGGTGCTGGTTTGAGGCAGCCGCTCCGGCGGGCGGCGCGGGCGGCAGGACTTCGGCCTCGGCCTTTGGGCTGCTCTCTTGCTCGCCTGCAGCCGCGTCGGAGGCCGAAGTGCGCGGGGACGTTTCGGCGGCTGCTCTWGGAGCAGTGCGTGTGGGTGAGGGAAGGAATCCGCACCCTCCGGAGAGGAGCCCGCCGGCACGCGTGYGGCGCCCTGTCAGTGCCTCCTCTGCCGCGGGACACGAGCTGCTCGCGGGGAGCGCTGCTCCCCTTTCCTAGAATCACAGATATATTTAGAAAACACAAAAGCTTGGGCATGTCGTGCCTTAGTCACGTCCTGGAAAGAACCATTACGCTTTGGTTAGCACCAGCAGCAGAGCTGCTCCCATCTTTCCGTTTGATATGTCGGAATAAGGAGATGTGTAGAAACTTGAGCTTTGCTTTCATCGCTTCTGCTTCCCTGTTAGTGTCCTGCTATTGACACGTTTCTGTTAGGGAGAGCCCATCTGTGGTAATTTCAGAAGCACAAGTGTTGTTCTAAATAGGCATTTCATTATGTAACTGAAGAAGTATTCTTGTTCTGTGGTGTGTCTCTTGGATATGCAAAGCCATACATATCTAAGATATCAGCTACAGATATAAACTAGGATATTTAAATTACTCTGTAACCATGGCAGGCAAAATATTAGGTATTGTGATTTATCTTAAACTTGTGCCGTGTGTGTATATATACACATAATTTATCTGATGTGTGCTTACATACTGCAATTAATATTTTTCATTGATTAATGTTCTTGGATCTCTTTTAGGGTTCAGCTGATCCCTTGAATAGTGCATTTCACCTGACATACAACATGGTACTGAACTTGCTTCGAGTAGAGGAAATTAACCCGGAATACATGTTAGAAAAATCCTTTTATCAGTTCCAGCATTACAGAGCTATTCCAGGAGTTGTAGAAAGTAAGTAGTTGTGGATGTTAAACCTCATATTCATGAGGTTTAGCAGCGCCCTGTTGTTCTTAGGACCTGTGCTGATCAGCACTGTCAGCTTTCTCCCTCTGGGTCACACAGGGACTTGGCGCAGAGGAGAAAACTCTTAATCCTGTTCAATATGCAGAACTTAGCTGAGATAAATATAATTTTAATATCTCATTAYGATATCTAAAACCTGCTAAAGCTTGCATAAAGTGTTTCCCTGGGCCCAGCTCAGGTTCCACGGATGTYGGCCGGCRCGGGGCAGCCCCTCCGCCGGGCCTCCACCTGTGGGGTTTGGGATGGGAAATGCGCTTCCTGGGAAGCTGCTGGCTCCCGTTGACATGCCGGGGCCTGGCTCCCAGCCTTGGCCTTTGAGAGCCACCACATTTCCTTGGGCTCATCCAGTTTAGGTGCCATGTTGGACACCGGACATTTTTCATGGCTTCAGCTGCAGCTAAACATACAGAGCCCAGAAATGATCAGGGTGCAGATTATGCCCTGGACAAGAATTACCAGCCTTTTTCTTTAAAAACTTGGCCCCTGAAAATAGGGAATATTTCTAGGGCCCTACCAAAATAGTTTTTTTGTGCCATGCATTCAAAGAGCGTACAACAAGGTGAGTTGGGAGGAAGGAGAGAGACTTTTGTCACCTGTTTTCTCTTTATTTTCACTAGTGGTGTTGCCAATTTAAAGCAAGTAGTATAGTGCTTATAGTAGGAACTGTTTTGCCTAAATAAAGTGTGAAAAGAGGAAGGAAATGAATTTTAAACTAATGAAATCAGAGCCCTAAAGACTCCCTGAGCATTGTTGTTGTTAGAAGTCTTTGCAGAACTCTTATTATGTACAAGAGGGCTGGCTGGCAGGGAACCCATTCTTGCAAATCATTGCAAGTCTTTATGGAATATTTGTGGAAAACTAAATCAGTGATTTCTGGAAAATTCCAAGTTCTCAAGCTTTGTAAAATGTAATTTAAGAAGCTATGTAATTTCTATTATAAATAAAACATAATGGATGTATTTATAGATTTCCAGCTTACTCAAGAATGGATTACTGTAAATAAACAGTGTATCTTGAAAATGTTGCCAAAATATTAATTATGTAAACTTTGGAAGGGAAATGTTGATTTGTAAATGTGTAGAACTGATCATTTCCATAAGACTGTACTGATTTGCTACTTTTTTTGTTTGTGTGTGCAGAGGTGAGTAAATTGGAAGAACAGTACAACAAAATCGCAATCCCAAATGAAGAAAATGTGGTCATATACTACAAAATTCGGCAGCAGCTTGCAAAACTGGGTAAAGAGATTGAAGAATATATTCACAAACCAAAATACTGCTTACCTTTTCTACAGCCAGGAAGACTGGTAAAGGTAAATATATTTTGCTTGCTTTTTTCTTTTGTGATCTGTACCTACAAATCCTAAACTTTTTAGCATCTTAAATTTTCTCAAGGTGGCAAACTGATAAAGATGTACAAATCCTAAAAAGTTTAGGATTTGTCRGTCCTGCAAATAATAAAAAATTATAAACTTTTTAGGATTTGTACATTTTTACTAGTTTGCCATCTTGAGAAATTGCATGCACCCTCACTGATAGTGATTCTGATTTTCAGTATRTTTCTTTGTTAAACATTCACCAATGTAAGAGAAATACATTTCATTTTAATGGTGAATAGTAATCCATGACTGCTATTTTAAATAACAGAACTTCAAAAGTATTATAGTATATAAAGATTATATTAAATTAAAAAAATGTTAAATATATAATTATACATGGACAATATATACAACTTCAATATTCAAACTATAACAACTTCAAATATTTTCAGGTGAAAAATGAAGACGATGACTTTGGATGGGGAGTGGTTGTTAATTTCTCTAAGAAATCAAATGTTAAGGTAAAGTACACACTATCACTGTTAGCAAAATGTATGTCTTCCTGTCTGTTCTGAAAAGAAGTAAAGCTGCTGTTTTCGTTTGTTGAGATGCATATTTCTGTGGTAGCCTTTTTGCACTAATTTTGGCAATAGAGTCTTGGGGTTAATTATTAGGTCTAAATGAGAAGTTTTCTCTTTTTCAAGTTCTAGTAGTGCCTGTACATTGTGGCACATTCCCTAATGTATTTTCATTAAAGAGGAATGGGAGAAGTGTGTGCATACAGAATGTATTAGAAGAGGTTTTGTTTTGTCTTTCAGCCCTCCTTTTGCAAGTTGTTTCTTTTAATCTGGAAGACAGTGCTGGAATAGTCTGCTGCTACTATGKCTTAAGCCTTTGATTCTGGATTATTTTTTCTTTTTACAGACCTACTTGAGCACTAAAACAGCTACCCTCTCGCCTGCACTGTTTGTGTAAAAGTGCCAAGCTCTGTGTCACTGCAGGCGTTTCTTCTCTCTGTGTCAGATTTTAGCCATATATGTTTTACTTTTCCTCTTTGGCTCCTCTCAGTGTTGTAGAAAGCCTTTAGATTTGAACGTTTGCTCTGAAATCACGGTCCGTTTTGAAGGAGACGATCCTGGCTCCGGCAGTGCTTTCCTTAGTTAAGACTTTCTGGCAGCTGGCTCGCATTTTTCCTTCTGAGTTCTGTGGAAACAATGACAAGAGATCCTGAAAATTATGGAATAGACTTGCAGCTGGGCAACGTTTAGTGTCAGTATGGTCAGCTGAGTTTCTATGAGCAGAAACAAAACAAATGACCTCTAAAAGCAGCAGTTACTTTGTTATTCTAATGTGCCTTTCCTGTGCATCTTGTCCTGGGATGCAGATGCATTTCAAATTAGTGTTTACCAGTGAGCATCAGAAAAGGTATCACTGCTGAACCTTCAGCCACTGTCATTATAAGAACTGGGCTGTGACTGTCTCTTTGGATTTGTTTTCACACCTTGTGCTGAATTCAATCTGTGTTATTAAATGTTTATTYCCTTTATCATAGTTTCTAATATAGTCCTTTTTCTAGTTAGGAACACATATAATTAAGATTGACACTCAGGGTCAAAACATGTTTAACATTCCCTTGATTCATTCTCGTTGGCCAGAGCAAGAGTGTGAGTCACTGTTGTTTATGTTCACTGCTAATTACTGAATGTTTTTCCAGCATAATTTCAAAATGCAGTGTTCCCCAAAAGTGCAAATGTGGCTTTCTTCTGGATTACAGTATGTAGGAGGATTTATTTCAAGCAGTGTTGTTAGCCATACACTGTACGATATTGTAAGCAGTGTGCTAATTCTGCACTGGATTCATCAAAACTGATAAGTWTTTTTGAATAAAAATTCATATTTCCACTACACTGTGCCTACAATGCAGTGGTGTTACTGTTGTGCTGGTTATAGTCAACATTCATCTGATACCTGATTCTAGATGCAAAATTGAATGAATTTCAAAATTTTAACAATTGCAGATATTAAAAATGAGAGGCTGTGATTTGGCAGTCCTTATTTTTGACAGTTGACAGTTTGACAGCATATCAAGAAACAGATATTTCAGGGTAAACGTGAAAATCCTTGGCATTTACATCCCTAATCAGGCAGAATTCTGCCAAAAGGGGCAGGATTTTGTATCCTTGAAGCACATGGGTTGATGCAGTTGATCAAAGGATCATTCAGACTTGACATTTCTTGGCATTACAGAGGCCTGTGACTAACAAGTTTTCACAGTGTATTCTGGCTGCTCTTACTGTTACATGTGAAAACATGGCTGTTTTTGTATTCCTGTTCAAGGTTTTAGTACCTAAAATCTGTAGTTCTAGAAAAGGAAACCTACTGAAGATAGTAGCATACATCCAAAAAGCAGGTCCAGTTTGAATAATGCCCAGTAGTATTTTGTAAAGGCCATTGGTTTACTAACCTTACACAGAGTAATACTAATAGTAAACACTAGTGACACTTGTGCTCTTCCCTTCTATGTAATCATATAATACAGTGACTTACATTAATAGAAATCGTTTTTTTTCTTCATAATTTCCTAGATATCTGCAGTTTTATTATTTTCTTCAAGATGTATTTGCAGTTACTGGTTTAGTCTCTTCTTTCCAGCAAACCCTCTGCTTTGCAGRGCTTGTTTTCAAACACCCCAGGTGAGAGCAGCGCGTCTTGGCCGCGGCTGCTGGGAGCCCTTTCTGCAGATGCTGGACACAAGCTGCAGGAACAGTTTCTTTTCCTGGGCAGCAATTAAACGCCTCGAAGAAAGGATTCAGCCTGCAGAACAGGATACCCCAGCTCCTTTTTGTTTATTTGACTTTACACAAATGGAAGTTTCACATGGTACCACTAACAATCTCTTGGAAATGTCAGCTGGCTCAGTGCTCCGTCACTGCACTGAAAGCAAAGGCTTGTGTGGTAGATGTGCAGTGAAAAATTTTACCCCATAAAACTGAACTTTGCTAACACAAGATTTTGCCAARGACTCTGCCCTTTCTGTTAGAGAAACTTACACATGGTGTTTTAAAAGATGATGTCTGTTTTCTGATTTGGGCCTGTAATTTAATTCTAGTAGAAGGCATTAAAATATTTGCTTCCAGTAGAGTGTATTTGAACAGCATTAGTGCACATCGATGCCGTCAAACAACATATGTCTCTTAAAAAAAAACAGCATAAAGGTTATGGCCTTGTGTACAGTAAACTTTAACCACTATATCTGTGTTTTGCTTTTTGATGTGAGCCAGGCTACGTGTGCACTTTGGGCTGCAGGAAGGCCTGGCCTGCGAGATGTTGCTTCCTGCTGGCTGCAGATAAAACCCCTTGCACTTTTCTGTGACTGTTGTAGTGGGGGGAAATGCAGAACTACAAACCTGCAAATGCAGCAGACCTCCCAAATTGTTGGTGAAAAAGGAAAAAAAAATAGCAAAGTTCAGTGCTGTTAACCTCAGATAGGTGTTGTGCATTAAGTTTACAAGCGATCTTTGCTTGTTTGCAAAGAACTACATGTAGGGGAAAAGGCAGAGAGACAACAGTGAGACTGCGTGATGTGGTRCGGGGTGAAAAAATGCACATATTTTTAGTGTGCATTTTACTGCATGAGGAGCCTTCCCACCAGKACCCTGGGATTCTGCAGATTTAAAAACTGAAGCACCGAGCTGGCGCGCCGCGAAGGCCAGCGGCTTGTTTCATGCCTTTAATATTGACTAAAGCCCCGCTTTTCTTTCCAGTTTTGCTCACATTTTTAAAGAACTGGTATGCTCATGTTTTAAAATAACTGTTTCTCTGTGCCCCCAACAGCCTAATTCTGGTGAATTGGACCCGCTGTATGTAGTTGAGGTGCTTCTGCACTGCAGCAAAGAGAGTTTGAAAAATTCTGCTACTGAGGCTGCCAAGCCAGCTAGACCTGATGAGAAAGGAGAGATGCAGGTTTGTTACAAATCTTTRTTATTGTTATTATGCATATATGTTCTAAAGGAGTCAGTTTCCAAAGCACTTGGAGACTGGTGCAAGAGGGGAGTGGTGTATGAAAGAGGAGAAAGAAGCTTCACATCAAACAGAGCAGTTGCCAGCCTCACCTCAGAGAAGCCATTTTCAGCTGTGAACCAAGTATTTCCTGCGCATTTGTTAACATATGGAAGGTGCTTTGAAACTTTCTTACTGTCTTGTCGAATATTTCAAACTATTAGGTGAAAGACAACAGTGGCTGCAGGTAAACAAGTGTCTGCAAGCTCTCTTCTGTAAGATACTTGTGCTGGAGCTTTTAGATTGTGTTTAGATTATGTCTCTTCTATTCAATTTGAGAATTTGTGTGATTGACAGTCCTTGAGTGCYGAGTTTTTGTAGTATTGTTTGCTACATACTGACTTGAGAATTTYGTCTGTTCTTAGGAACCTCCATCTTCTTTGATTTCCATTCAGGCCTTTTCAGTTTTGCCAGTCTGCCTTACTCTGAAAGGAAATTTATATTCCTAGCGCAAACACTTGCATTGCTAGGATTTCAGTTTGGAACCCTGTATCAGGATAAACCACTAAATTCTTTAGATCAGAAATAGCTATTCAGTTTGTCCATTTGGTTTTCCACAAATACTGTTTTAAGCTAGAGATACTGTACTTACTCTTCATGGTTTCTTAGTTGTTTTGCTGTTGATGAATATATATTTGCTCCTTTGATGGTCCCTGTTGTTAAGATTTCTAGTTATATTTCTTASAAAAATGTATCTGTTTTGGATCACGAGGTATTCCGGTAGGAAGCAGGCAAGAAACTATCAGAAGTGAATAGAGATCTTCATCTTTGAAAAGCCAAGTAGTCACATGGAGTCTCCCTCCATGTCCATGAAGGACAATTCAGTGCTTTATTCAGTGTATTTCAGTGAAATGCTGTTAAGGAATATGTTTAAGTACAGGCTTAATTGAAACAAACCTTCTGTGGGGGTGCATGTACCTACCTCTGACTGCAGTGAATTGCAAGCAACAGAAAACCTAGATTTTTTTTTTCTTCCCCACTGAGTCTCTCTCCAGATGCAGGATTTTGCCATTTGGTTGAACTGATTCCTCCTCTGCATTAAGCTTTATCTCATTCCCCACATCTTCCTGCTTCCTGGTCTTGCTTTCTCCATTACTGTGTTCTTGGGTATTYGATTTTCATTTTCCTTTGTAATAGAACCAGATGTAAAGGAAACCTGAAAGAATGCAAGTTTCGTCCCCCCGCCCCCATCTTCTCTGTGTTTTTGTTTGAATGCTCAACATGCCAGCTCATTTTCTGAGCGGTATGAGCGGAATTCAGAAAAGCTTTGCCGTGAAACAGAGGTAGCCAGTTACGGGTTTGTGTGCTCCCCTCCACAGGTTGTTCCTGTCCTGGTGCATCTGCTCTCAGCCATCAGCAGCGTCCGCCTCTACATCCCTAAAGACTTGAGGCCCATCGACAACAGGCAGAGYGTGCTCAAATCTATCCAAGTGAGTTCACTGGCCTTTGAAAGCTCTTCGCCCCAATAAGTGGGATGGACTTGAACCCAAGACTGCTAGTTGTAAAGAAACCTGTCTGGAGTTTTTCTCGCTTCCCTGGGATTCCTGAAAGGGCTTGATAAATGGTTGTGCTTGTAGGCAATTGCTCACTTTAAAMCGGTATTTTCAACCTGCTGAAATCTTGCCCATAAGGCTTACCCTCCTGCTTTGCACATCCCTGTAGCTGTGCCAGCTSATGTGTGAAAGTGCGCTTTATTTTGCTTTTATTGGTGTTACAAAAGATATTTCTTCCTCTTTCTGCTCCCCATTTTAGGAGGTGCAGAAGCGGTTTCCTGATGGGGTCCCGTTACTGGACCCTATCGACGACATGGGCATCAAAGATCAAGGACTGAAGAAAGTTATCCAAAAAGTGGAGGCCTTTGAGCACAGGATGTACTCRCATCCTCTCCACAACGATCCCAGTTTGGAAACTGTGTACAAACTCTGTGAAAGAAAAGCACAGGTAAAGCAAACCAAGCAATCCGAACCCAGCGTGTTTACTCTCTGCGTATTCATTCAGTATTTTTCTGTTTAGCTGAGGAGGGGTTGGTAGCAGCTCCCCGTTCCCTGCTTTCCCTATCTGCAAAGGCCGGTTTCCCAGCTCTCGGCACGCAGCGACACGGGGCTTCTCCAGCCGTGGCACGGCCGGGCTGGACGAGGAGCCCGTGGCCTCTGGAAACGGAGCCTTTTGGTGCAGAGGGGCCTGGTCTGTGCCCCGTCCAGCATCACCACCTGACGTGTCCCAGTGGGAAGTGCTTGGRGAGCTCTGCAGGGTTTGGCTTGAGCCCGGCTGAACGAGTGAAACCTCGTGGCCGTGTTGGACCTGCCTGTCTTGTCTTTGAGCCCCTTTGGGACTCCAGGGAAATACCCTTATGTGGGTATTTCCTTCTCTAAGGCTGCCCTGTACTGATACCACCTTGACTGATGGAAGGTTGATGGGTTCGTAGTGTAGAAATGTCATAAAAATGCCCCTAAAAGTATTTTTAAAATACCTGAAGTAATGTCTGTTGGATCTTTGTGTTTGGTCCGAGCCCGCAGAAGCCACGTGCTACCGTGTTGTGTTGAGCTTGTCTTTGCTAACCCAGCAGACGAGTGACCTAAACTCAGGGACAAGCTCGAGCAGAGCGGGAGAGCTGCTGCACGTTGAGCTTGGCATAGAGGTCCAGCAGYTAGTTAAGCTGTGTCAATGCATATCAGATTGCATGGACTGAAATGCCTAGTCCAAATAGGAGAAGGGAAACGTTGGGATTGGGGCAGTAGCTGTGTGTCAGGGGGGTCACGGTGGGGATGAACTGTCACACGTGGCGACTTTCAGGTAGCCCAGATGCCATGTGGGGCCCAGATGTGAGCACTGGGTTTCGTGGCCAGCAGCTTCCTCTGTCACTAATTTCTGGATGAACAGCAGAATTTCCAAAACTTGCCAAGGTTCCCTGGGGGTAAATGGAGCAGATGCTGTTTTTTAAAAAACAAACCACCCCTCCTTCTTTGAAGCACACGTGAATGGGTCAGTCAGAGGCCTGTACGCGTGTTGGGCAGCGTCTCTCAAGGAGAGGCCCGGCTGTGTCCGTGCAGGCAGCAGARCCGGTTTCTCCCTGTTGCCTCCCGCAGATCGCTGTGGACATCAAGGCGGCCAAGCGGGAGCTGAAGAAGGCCCGCACCGTGCTGCAGATGGACGAGCTCAAGTGCCGCAAGCGCGTCCTGCGCCGCCTGGGCTTCGCCACCTCCTCCGACGTCATCGAGATGAAGGGGCGCGTGGCCTGCGAAATCAGCAGGTGACTCCCCGTGGGGACCCTGGTGACTCTGGCGGGACCYGTCCCGTTGGTGTCCGTGTGTCCGGGAGCAGCAGCAGGAGGCTCTGCGGCCCCTGCCCTGTGTCACAGGGGGTACCTACTGGCTGARGCAGTGAAGAAAGCAGCCAAGGACAAAACAGAATAGAAATCAGAGCTAACAGTAAAACGTGGCTGGTAAAGCACCAAAACGATGGCTGCTCTTGGCAGCCCCGAGCTTGGTCAACGAGAGGTGGTTTCATGCAGCATTGCAGGTTGTGTGAGACATCGAGGACGCCCTCGGCGCCTGTGGCTCTGCTTCCCCAGAGCAGGGTCACCCACAGGCAGAGCAGAGGGCGTCAGCAGGCACCCAGTCACCRACAGGTTTAGAATACACCTCACCCGGAACAATCCTAGGGAGACATTCCTGTAACTGTAATGCAGTTACAGGAACATAAATATATATTAAAACATATCATAAGGATTCCATGGAAACTCATGGATTGGACTTCAATACTTCAGACRGTAGCTTCAGCCTTCAGGAGAAATATGTACACTTAAAACTGCAGTCACTTAAAACTGCAGTGACTGCTGAAGTACTTGCTAATAGGTGCTCTGAAAAAGTTATCTGTGTTCTTTCTCTTCGGGATTATCTAATAATCCTTAGTCCCTGAAGCATTTAGTTGGAAATGGGAGCTGAATCATAAATTTACTACATTCCTGATCATCCAGAATTGTTACTTGATGAGTTACAGATGTATTTGTAAAAAGTATACAGATTTTTTTTTCTCCAGCCTTGTATTTTTCTGATAAACTTTGAAACTGGAAATGTAGTTCTTTTAACTGTTTGACACTATCATATTGTATTCTTGAATTTTATAGCAGGAGTGAGCATTTCCTCTTATAACTCATGATTAAGGGTTTTTTAATATGTAAGTTGAAGCAACTTTGTCCTCAATATCTTGAGAAGATCCAGTTGAATCTCTTTTTTGAGCAGCTACAGTACAGATTTGATTCCTAAGCTGACGAGCTCTGCTTCTTTATCTGTTGATGCTCTGTGTGTTAACAGCTGACTGAAGGAAACTCTTAATGAGAACTCTTACAAAAGTATCAGGACAGATTCTTTGTAGCTCTTTAAGGCTTAAAGAGCTTCTGATGTTCTTCTTCCTGGGCATCCCCCTCAAAACATTAGTGTTTGCTGTACCATAAGTGAAATGAAGAAGCTGTTGCTTTCTTGTGTGTATATATAGTTGCTTCACRAAATAGATGAAAAAACATTTTAAATGTGAATGAGTCTTTTCTCTAAGCTTTGTTTTCTTTCTGTTTCAGTGCTGATGAACTGCTGCTGACAGAAATGATGTTTAATGGTCTCTTCAATGACTTATCTGCAGAACAGGCCACTGCCCTACTCAGCTGCTTTGTGTTTCAAGAGAACGTGAGTTACGTCTTGAGTTCAGGAGTTCTAGCACTTGGTGGTGCCTTAAATTCATTTCCAGAAACTGGTCCTAGCAGCACAGGCCGTTTCCTTTGCTCCCTTTCGTGAGGTGTTCCTGACATTAACTGACATTCCTTGGTGCTGCAGTGCATCCCCTCACGGCCGGTGGGCTGTGGGGCATCCGTAGCTGTTCCCTTCCCGTGCAGTGAACRGTAGGAAAGGCTCTCAGGCCACGTGTGCACACACATCTGCACACAGACACCTGGAGGATTCAGAAGGTCAGACAGTGATTTCAAAGGAGAATTTCTGCTCCTTACATGGTGGTGATGGGGGCACCTCAGTTCTGACACATGTTCATGTTATTACGTTGTTCCATCAACACCTGTTGATGCAAACGGCGAGAACTGATACCAACAGAGCTGAAAAGATACCAGAAGGTCTGTTAAAACAGACCATATGTTATGAAAAGCAGAAATGCAGGCATTTGCTTCTGATGCATTTGTTTCCCTGCTTACAAGCTATATGAAAGCAGTAGCATCAGGAAAACACCAACAATATAAAGTAGAATATCTCTGCAGATGGCTGGCAGGCTTTATCACCCAGGTCTGGAGATGGAAAGCAGCAGCAGGTGACAGGCATTGTCCTTGGTCAGTGGAGGGGATGCCTGTGTGCCACCATTGCCATAAGCAGCAGCAAATGAAATGTGGGAATAAAGTACTGTGGTTCACTCAGCAGTTGTGCTGGGTCTGCGCAGCCAGGACATAAAAATGTTGCTGTACTTGAACAACCAGCTTTGCTTTTATAACCATGGATGTTTAAGTTATTCTATTAAAGGCCTTGCTTTTTATATTCTTAAAGAAAARAAAACTTGTAACACAGCTAAAGCCGCGGAGGAGACGTTTCCTCCTAATTCTGGCAGTTTGCAGCTGCCAAAGCAGGTAATGGAGTGAATCTTGGTAGTGTTCAGAAAGCAGATGCTGGTTTTTTTCCTTCTACTATTTGGACACTGTATAAAACAATTTGTCTTTTGCTGCTGTTTTAGTTTGACAAATTAGTATTCTTGTTTTCAGGCCAGTAAATCTTAGGCTGTTTGATACCAAGTATGAGAAGTTATGTTAATTGTTTAGGATGACGCTAGCACGTGTKWTAACTTTGCTCTAAATCAAATGAGATGTGAAAATACATGGGATTCTAGATGAGATCATTAAATATTTTCTGTTTCAGTCCAGTGAGATGCCCAAATTGACGGAGCAGTTGGCAGGACCACTCCGTCAAATGCAGGTGAGCCCGTGCACAGAAGGCTCAGCAAAGCCGAGCCCGCGTTAGCGGCAGTAGAGCAGACGGGCAGCGAGTGCAGGGTGAGGACTTAATTTTCAGTTATTAGTGAATTTGCCTGRCTCTGACTGCACGTGGTTTTGCAGTGTTTAAAAGTGGGTTATTTGGATTGCAATAAACTCCTCGGCAAATTTAGAGCATCTTTTGAAGAACTTTATATAACTCTGCTTGCTACACTATAAATTGTTAGGGCAGGCAGACTTTGATAATGATGTAGGCTGTGGTTTACTTTCCAATTTTGAAGAATTTCACACAAAAAAGGAATGCTGGTCTGGTAAGCAATACCTTCTCTGTTGATTTAATATTTAATCTGTTTAAGCTTATTATAAATTTTAAATATTTTACTTTAAAGGAATGTGCTAAAAGAATYGCCAAGGTCTCAGCTGAAGCAAAACTGGAAATTGATGAAGAAAATTACTTAAATTCTTTCAGACCCAACTTAATGGATGTCGTATATACATGGGCGAATGGAGCAAACTTTGCTCACATTTGCAAAATGACTGATGTCTTTGAAGGTATGTTACTTTATTTTTAGCATTTTTAGGAGGTGTGAAAATGATTCCATATCATATACAGAAATGTTATAGTTTTTGAGTTCTACTTAGCCTTGTAATAGATTATTTTTTTTAACTCAGATCAAGTATCTATTTCATCTGCAACTGAAACCAATTTTTACTAATTTAATGTATCTTAATTTGTGGTTGGACTTGATGACTTGGAACCTTCAGAAAACAATTTAAAAGGGCTGTATCTAATTTTTGTATAGAACTCAGAACTGCTAATACCGTAGGCTGTGGCAATCCGAGTCTCCGGTAGTTACAGCATGAATACCACGTATAAAAGGGCTCCCATTTTTTCAGAAAGTTCAGCTCTTACACTTAGTTTTTACAGTTAAGTTCTTGGTAAATTGGAAGTTGCTTTTGCTGTCTTGGTGATGACAGTGGCTTGAGAGGTGGCAGCCAAACCTGCTTTGGACGGGTCAGTGTAAGAGTACAGTGCCTGGATTTGGGAAGTGCTGCATAGACCCAGGAGCTTCCTAAGCCGCCCTCCTCTGACCAGCCGGACTTGGAGCCGTCTGTGATTTTGCACTGAGCAGATTCCTCTTGGTGAAATGGATGTCTGGGACCTGGGTTGTTGGACAAAGTTTTAGCTCCTGCAGCAGCAGCCTCAGTGGAGGGAACACGGAGTGGGAAGCAGCAGCCGGTGGCTCTGTCATCTCGTGATTGTTCGGAATACACAAGGACAGGAACATTGCCCTTTCACYGTGTTTTGGTGAAGGCCAGGCAAGCAGCCTTGTCCTGGCCTTCCCGGCGTGCAGCCCTCGGCCTGGATGGCGCAGGTTCCCTGGAGCCCGAGGGGCTCGCGGAGGAGCCCGGTGCTCGTGGCGGGGCCTGGCGCGCGGCTCTGCCCTCGCTCGGCAACAGGCCGGATTTCTGCGYGTGTCCCAAGGGAAGGAGGGCAGGGCAGAGCCCCGGGCTCCTGCCTTTGCAATAGCTTTTACAGAGACTTTCTAGCACAGTGGTAACATATGAGTATTRTTTTAAGGTGGTTTTTCTTATGGGACAGGCAGAGGCCCCCACGGTGGGAGCAGTGCTGCAGCACGGCCTCGGCAGCCGGCAGTCCTGCAGGCCACGGTGCTGTGGCCAGCAGCGACTCGGCCGCTCGTCAGGCTGACACAACGGGGGACGTGTGTTTTAGTACTGGGGCAGTTTCAGGCAGTTTCACACTAACTAATTTAACTCTAGCTGGGTGATTGTGCAGGACAAAATGACCAACCCCGTCCTGTCTGCACTCCTCTATGAAACCCAAAGTATTACACTCGCTGGGTGCCGCTTGCTGCAGTGAGTTGGGCTGCACTGAGGAGCAGGTTGGCAAATAGCAGTCGGTAAAAATTGCAAAGCAGCTGTTTTTTAGCTGTGCTAGAAGTCAGGGGGCAGTGCATTAGAGCATAGGAGCCATGCAAAGCGTGACCTTGTATGCACTGCAGGTAGCAGTGGGGGAGTGGAGCTGGTGTAGGGTGAGGGGCCMGCAGAGCCATCCCCGCCTCTCTCCACAGGGAGCATCATCCGGTGCATGAGGCGGCTGGAGGAGCTGCTGCGACAGATGTGCCAGGCTGCAAAAGCCATCGGAAACACGGAGCTGGAAAACAAGTTTGCCGAGGGTAGGTAGTACTAAGCATGAGCACACGGTGGTGGAAAGGACAGGTCCTTGTTTGTGATGTCCAGTAACTGCATGAAGAGCAGCACCTTGGTCTCCCTGTAAGTAGCACCCTGCTTGGGAGGCCTGTCTGCTGTTCTGCTGCACAGTGACAGATGTACCACGTTTGTGACAACACAGATGAGCGGGACTCCTGGTCAAGGGCTGTGGCGCTGTTTCTGCATTACCAAAATGGCAGTTGTCTGCAACTGGACTTAAAGCACAGGGAAGTGGTTGTTCTAGCTCTTGTTCATGGAAACGTCTCTTTCCTTTGTGGTAGGTATTACAAAGATCAAGAGAGACATTGTGTTTGCTGCAAGCCTCTACCTGTAACTGAAGGTGTCTTCCAAAAACTGCTCTGGATCCATCCCTACTCCTGGAGGAAGCAGTTTTAGAGTTGAGTTGGCATCAGCTCTGCACTTCCATCTCAAGTCAAGACATTTAGGTTTTAATTGTGTGTATTTAAATCATAACCATTTCAACAAGGCATGTACAAACATCAGTATGTAATATAAGTGTTACCACATTTTTAATAAAAATTTACAGTTTGAAGAGCCTGTTATTTTAAAAGCAAGAGCTTGAACCRACTGAAATTTAAAGTTTAGACATACATAATGGTGGTAAATGTTACTATATACAGGTAAAGTGAGCATCTAAGAACAGCAGCAGTCCCTTAAAAGGCATTTATTTATATTACATAGACTTTGGAATTGTTTTCCTTTCAGAGAGCGAGAGTGGTGAGGGGGCAGCTCTCTCACGGTTGATGATTGCTACCGAAGTGATTCCCATTTGTGGGCGTCTCATGGAGGGTCGTGTGGGAATCTTCCTTTGGCTGAAACGTGCATCCTCTCACTTTGAAGAAGTCAGACACATATAAAACCTAAGGGAAATAAATCAGTGTTAAGCTGCTGCAGTAGCAAATCTACAAACAACTGACACATGTTTTTATAGGGGCAGAAAGATAAGCCTCATAACTCCCACACTCAAATCTAACAGCACCMTCTAAACAAGATTAGAACATTACTTTGATAAGAAACTTTAACTGTTTTGAAAAGTCCAGCCTCAGTCCTTAAAAAAGTCCTTTTTCCCCCTGCTGCCTGCTGTCCTGAGTGTTGCTTGGCCATTAAAGATTTAAGCTGAGCTCAGAGGTTGCTGCTGCTTGACGGCTTTGTCAGTTCTTATCCACAGTGCTGCACTGCGGCCCCTCTCTTGCAGATACRCTTCCAGTGGCCAGCACCCTTCCCTACACTTTGCTTAATGGCGATGCCCTTGTTTCTTTAATCCCTGCCATTCCTCATTCCCTGCATTCTTCCCCATAGGAACTGAGACTGTAGCTAAACAAGCAGCGCTTCAGTATCAGTCCCTCAATTAGTTCGTGTCTCTGAACCACAGTTTCCTCTTCCGTGATGTGTCACTTGTCCCAAATCTGTCAAGCCAAGGCACCCTGGTGACACCTTCACAGGCACGAGGACAACCAGACATCCAGCAGGTCCATGGCTGCCCGTGACCCAGGACACTGATTATGGGGAACTCCCTTTTAACATCCAAACAGGAATTTCCAAGGAGTGGTGAAGGATTTTAGTTTCTGTACTAATCCAGCAATTAGAGGATACTAATCCAGCAATTGAGACTACAGAACCTGGCTGAGGACCCTTCCATGGTGTCCTCAGCCTMCCTCGGGGGCTTCTTGGGCCTCGCTGTCTTCAGCTCTCCTCTCCCTTTATACTTGAGAATTAAATTTTGATTAGAAACAAAGTTGCTGGTGCAGAGGGGCTGCCCCCAGCCCACTGCTCTTGTGTAGTTGTCTGTTGCCATCCCAGTTACCTGGACTGAAGTCTCACACAGTGACAATTCCATATGGTCCAGCTGCATCCATCACACCCCTGCTGGATGCAGCGCTGCTGCTGGACCCAGTTCAAGGAGTTGCCCTCCATCTTCCTCTCCACCCCCCCCCCCCCCCCCAAGGTTTTTCAAAGCTTTAGGAAGCCCAGACCACTTTCTCTAGGTCACTGCTTATAAAAGTGACATTTGGAAAAGCTCTTAAGAAGTTACTTACAATGAGCACGGCTACCACGGCTCCCTGAATGAGGCCTGTCAAGACATCGCTCCAGTGATGCTTGTAGTCAGACACACGTGAAAGCCCCACGTAGATGGATGTGGCGACAAGAGCAAACTGCAGAGTGGGCCGCACGAGCCKGGCCCAGTCGCCTTTCATTCGGGCCTGTAGGTAAAGCTGAGAAGCAAAGGAAAGCAGTTATGAAATGCAGTAAATACAACAGCAGGTACATGAAATTCTTGGGTCTGTGCAGATAGAGCTGAAATTCAGAGATGTGATTATGTCCACAGACACCGTAAATGCCAAGTTCCTGCCAATTCAAATGCTGAACAGGTAAACATATCACTATCAGGCACTACTAGTTTGAGTTTTATACAGGACTATTCAACATTACCGTGTTGATCCAGTGTATAGAAAATATCCTGCCTTTGTGCCAGTGGACTCTGCTTAGCACAAGGGAATGACCCCGGGCTGCAGCAAGTGCCTCCTCCTGGTGCACAGGCACCGCGTGGCAGCTGCTCAGACGCCCGTCCGGCCACGGACCCTGTCCTGCGCTGGAGGCGGACGCCCCTAAGCAGGCTGAGGGTGGCCGCAGCTCAGGGCCCGGCMCACAGAGCCGGTGTTTCGTGTTCCACTGCAGCCGCTGTCCGTGTGACCAACGCTSAGCACGGCCTCAGCCGAGCTGGGCAGCGTCACGACGACCCGTAACGATGGTTAAACACAGCTCCTCTGCGGCCCTGCGCCCCAGCCCAGCGCTGCCGGCCCCTCCTTGCGCCCTCATCAGCACCTCACACCCACACACACTCAGAACTGCCTTGGGCAGCGAGGCCATTTGCTGCTCTGGTGAGTGGGTCGATGTACGAAATCTCCCACCTTTCCACTCTCCTCCACCACATTAGAGCTGCCCTCCATGAGTATCTGTGATTTATGTTGATTCATGAACTTAGTCCATGACACCACAAAAAATAACTTTCCTTTGCATGCAGAATTTTTGTGCTATAAACRGAGTGTCAAAAAGATCAACCCCATCCATAACTGGTTCCCTTTAATAGCAAGGCCAGGTTGAGATGAGGCTTTTTCAGAGTCTGATTGAAGCTGCAGCTGAAGAAGCTACAACTAAGTCTAAATTGGAAAATAAAACTTCCTGTAAGTGGGCACTGCGCGTATCCAGGGTCCAAATTTCACCACTGGAGAAGAAGGGCTGTTTGGCCACCTTCAAAGWGACCCGTGGTGCAGTGCTCTTGATTTCTGCTTGGGGAGAGGTGCTTTAATGCTCCTGCCTTTGGCTTTACCAAGAAGGGACCACAGCGCTGCCGGTGTCTCCTCAGAGCTCCCCCGGGGCCCTGCAAAGCACCAGCCCTTTGATAGGGCCTGTTTTTTCCCCTTTCCCCTATTCCTATAAATTCTGCTGAGGACAGCTGAAAAATATCTTGCAGTAGTAGATTTTTGCCATGTAAGCATTTTTTAACTTGGCAAAGACACTTTACATTCATATTAATAAGGAAAAAGGGGTTATGTAACTGCAGATGGACAGGAAACCGGGTTTATTTCTGAAGGGGACAGCTAATGGGGAAACCTTCAAAAAATAAAGTTTTGAAWAATCTGATTCTTAAGGACCTTTCTCTCTATACAAGGCCCCAGGAGATCCATCTCAGCGAGTCATAAAAGAAAAGGCAGCCCATTTTCAGGGACAGCCCCTGAGCTCCCTTCTGCCCAGCCAAGGAACGCGCAGGAAACAGGCCTGTGGTGCCCGTGGGCAGACAGGACCCCGCACGGAGCGCGGCACCGGCTCGGACGCGGCGCTGCCAACACCTGCGGGAGAGCTGCCCTCACCCAGGCTCCCGTGCAGCCTCCCTGTGCCCCTTCGCAGGCTCCCGTGCAGCCTCCCTGTGCCCCTTCGCAGGCTCCCGTGCAGCCTCCCTGTGCCCCTTCGCAGGCTCCTGTGCAGCCACCCGTTCCACATCACGAGTGTCTACGCACGAGCAGCCCCGCTCCAGCACAGCATCTCTCACACCCACTGCCTCCTGCAGGGCAACCACATCAAGCCGTTCAGAGACTCCCTCCCCTCATCTCCAGCTTTGCTCCTCTTGGAAACCCCGTATGGAGCCGGCATCTCCCAGGAAGCAGCAGCAAATCCCTCTCCAACGGAAAGGAACAAGCCTCCCAACTAGAGCCTTTATCTCCTGGGGCAGCAGAGACATTACAGCAGTTCGCCTGACTACACTGCTCTTCCTGAGAAGATTCAGCATTTCCCTGTTGCTGAGAAATCCCCGACTAGGGGTGTCCAGGGCTATCAGACCAGCAGCCACCACACAATCCTCCCGGCCATCCTGTTTTGAACAACCTCGGGGACCCTTTGAATCCAAACACCTCTGGTTTTCAGCGCTCCTCCTTCGTCCACGTTTCCTTTAACGCCTACATGACCCTTTCTACGAAATCTAGCTGTAATAGGATAAAGTTTCCAGCCCTTTTCACCAGCTAACGCTTACTCTACGATGAAAGTATGTTCTCCACACCACACATCCTGAGCAAAAGTTGCTTCTTTATCTATGGCCTGGTAGTTCATTTCTAAAAATACACATAGGGATGGAGAGAAACTCTCAGCCACTTTGTGGCTTCTTGCTAGAAGCCACAGACATGAATGGAAGGGTCTCTGCAACTGCCCAATTATTTGCTGCTCCTGAAAGTCTCCAGCACCATTTGAAGCGTCTGCCCTCGGCCGCAGCCGGACTGGGCCGCGCGTCTGCGACTCCCTAGGCAGACATTGGGGGCAGAATCACGGGGCTTCACGGGAGCCTCCAGCCAGCTGCCGTTTCACATCTCCGCATTAAGGACAACAAAAATCTGTTAAACCTATTGGAATCTACCCTACTAATCCGGGTCATATTTTTAAAATGTAGTTTTAATACTGAAAACTTGCAGATCGGTTTCATTCAAAACCTACTCAGCTTTCTTTTTATATATATATTTAAACACATCACTATTACTTTAAAAGCTTTTAGTGTAAAAGATTTTGCCTGKTAGGGTATAGGAAATCTCCTGCACTTCCAGTCCGCTAAGTTCTTTCAAAAACAGAAATCTGCACAATTTTTTTCCTGATAGGAAGTTTTACCTTTAATAGCTATTGATTTGCTCTGTCACTGTTTTAATGAGATTTTATCTTACCTTGCATCTGAAATCCTCGATAACTGCACTTCCTACAGAGCTCCTATTCTGAGCGCAGACTGCAGAGCAGGGACCTTGGCCACGACGCTCTGCCGCACCAGGCAAGTGAAGCCAAATTCACGGTGCAGCGGGAGCTGCGCTTCTGCAAGGAGGGCCATTTAAGTTCCCATCTCCCAACATTATGCTGCCTTTTAAATATGAGATCTGATTTCCTTAAAATCTGTCCTCGACCTGGTTTGCCTGCAGCGCTACCTGCTCTTCAGTCTTGCTTTGAGAAGGCAGAAAACGGGGAGGGAGGGAAAGCAACGTTTCAAGATCACCTTCTCCCTCACCAGGGCAGGCAAACGGTGGCTCTGCAGCTACTTTGGGATGCAGAGAGGAGGATGCTGCTGATGGGGACACTCTGCCCCGGCCTCCTAACCTCGAACCCCTGCTGCTGCCTCCCTTGTGCCACCTCTGTGTCCGAATAGTCACACAGGGAGCTGGAACAAGGAGCTGCTGCAAGCAGAGGGAAGACAGGGGCTTGTTGCTGCCCCAGGGCAACTGAGGTTGCACAAGAGCTGCTTCCTATGCGATGGAGTAAAGAACAACCAGCCAAACAAACCAATCTMCCTGTCTTTAACTAGGTTAGCAGCCAAACTCTCAAATCAATAACAAAGTTCACTGCATGCAGTACAGTCATTTCCCACTGGATTAATAATAGTTGTTTGTTTATAATCCTCCAGCCTCATTAGGACTGCGCATTGCAGAAAGAACTGTTTATTGACGTGATCTTACCATTAAGCAGAATAAACAGTAACTTCTTATTCCACTGCAAATGCCAACACTCAACCATTTTATGACAAGAGAAAATTAAAAAAAAAAAAAAAAGCAAGTGCATTCTTTCTAGCTGAAGGAAATCAACTTTGCTGCGGCATTTCTCAGGTTACAGCACTCTCCGCGAGAAGGATGTGGGCGCTGCTGCAGCCCTCGCTGTGCTCTGGCTCGCCGGCCCGGCGCGGGCTGCTCYGTGGCGAGGCCGCTTTGCTCGGCTCGCCTGCTACCCGCGGCCTAAAGGCTGTGCCTGGGGGAGCACAAGCCCCGTCCTCCAGCCTCACAGCACCGCTGTTCTCCTGCATTTCTCCTCTCTGCTCCAAAYAACACGCTTGGTACCAGCCAAAGCCAGAGCCAAATACAACAGCGTTTCCAGTAAGGAGGTTCTTTTCATGAGCTCTGCAGCCCAACTTGCAGGCAGGCAGGTACTGGGGACTGGGTGTTGGGCTGTGGGCAGCAGTGCCCTGTGCGGCTGGACCCACGTGTGGGGCAGCACTAACATGGGCAGGCGATTCCCGTCGGCAGCGAGGCTGGACAGGGGGGCAGGCGATTCCCGTCGGCAGCGAGGCTGGACAGGGGGGCAGGCGATTCCCGTTGGCAGCGAGGCTGGACAGAGGGGCAGGCGCTCGAGCAGCCCCTGCTCCACGCTACGCGCTGGCCGAGCCGCCTCTCCCGTCCATGTCGCCCTCCTGAGAGGGGACAGCCTCTCGGCGCTGCCCTCCCTCCGCAGCGCTCGCATTGCCCTGGTTTCTCACCCCACACTGCTGCTCCATTCTGCTAATGCCAGCGATGCATAAGCAGGATCCCCCGTATGTGTGTAATTCACCACGAACGTTCCTGAAGCAAGGAAAGGAAGAAAGGCCCGGTGCAACGCCCCGCTTCRGGGGAATAAAGCCCCAAAATGAGGACCCAGATGTCACAACATCCCAAAGAGCAATCAGAGGGGTGAGAGGGGCAAGGAAAGAAAAGCCCAACAGCTACAGGCTGAAGCAGCCTTGCTTGACATCCCCCCCACTGCAGGCCGAGCTGCACAGCGTTTCCACGCACCCAGCCCTCACTGTGGGACATTTAGCAGCGTTTTCCTCTCCCCATTAAGCACTCCTGATGGCAGAAGCACAACGCAGCCCATCGAGTGGGGCCTCTGGCACCGCTGGTTCCCCTGAGAGCTGGGGAATGTCTCACGTCCCCAAAGGCTCCAGCAGAGCCTCCCACCAAGCACCGCTGCACTCCGAAATCCAGCAGAAGTCACTGCTCTCCGTGCATCACACAGCCCATGCCAGTCCCTCAACTTCCTTCCACCTTGATCCCCTACTAACGTCTGGGACTTAAGTCTTTCCTGGGTAGGGATCAWACAGATTATTGCCCACTCCGAAAGTCCACTCCATCAGCAATTATGAAGGTTTGTATCATAAAATCTTGATAAGGAAACTCCGTTTTACATGAGATCTTACATAAGACGTTAGCTCTGACTGCAACATTCGTAAGTCTGCTTATTTAAAAACGAATACTACTTTTGGCTAAACCTCGGGTTGGAAGAGCACCCCTTTAAGCCTCAACAAGCACWGTGATGGGAAGAGCAGCTCATGGTGGCAATCACACATTTGGGACCTCATTCCTACCAGCAGATGGGCCTGCTATGTGCAACGCACGTGTCCTTCCCCACCAGCAGTACATGAAGCAGTTCATGGTGACACAGCTCAAGTTCTCGGTATGTTTTCCTCCAGAAATYAAAAGGCACTAAGAACAAGCAAGAGTAAGAGCAACAACTTCCATATCGCACATCCTTGACCTCCAATTCAGTTTACTGATAAAGTGATAGGCACCTGTTTCTGCTACCTGTTGCACCTTGTGTGGTCATCAGGTCAGTCATACCCTACTGCTAAAGAACAGGAGGCAGTTTTCAGGTTGCTCAAGAGCTGGAAAGAAACTGAAAACTTGCAGCACAAGGAAACATTCACTTTTTACTGAGATTTTATCTTGTTTGACTGGTATGTTCAAAACACAGTCTTCCTTTCCCCTCACCTCCTTTCTGGTATCAATTACGGGAGCTGAGCCCTTAAGTCTTTTTTGGCTTTGAACCCTTCTTTTTCTTCCTACCTCAGAGAGACTTCAGTTAAACCCTCTCTCCTCCAGCAGTCCTGCTATCACTAACTCCTATCAGATCACGTACGCAGCAGATTATCCAACTGCTCAAGCCCAAAACAAGAGTGGCAACTGAACTTTCACCTCTGCTTGTGATTCAGCAATTCTGCTTTAGTAACTGCCCCTGCAGAAGTATTTCTGTACTTTACCTACTATTTTGCAGTACGGCTTCATTACAGGCCCCCATTTCAAGGTTCTGCCATTTCAAACTCGCGGCTCTTGCACTTTCTGCAGCAGAGATGATTCTCCCCCCAAAAYACTTCAAGCGTTGCCCCATTTTCGGGATGCATAAGTGTTCGGCAAGTCACATTTCAACGTGCGCTCCGTGCGCGAGCTCATCCTCCCCGAGGCAGGGCCAGATTCCTCGCGCGCTCGGGAAGGCAGCACCAAGGCTCTGCTTGTGCCTGTGCTGAGCGACGCCACGTGTTGCACACCGTCCCGCTCGTGACTCGGCCTGCAGCTGGGTAAGGGTGCACACMGCTCCAGAGCGCCCTTCAACAGCAGGTTATCGCATGCAGCAGGTTTGGTTGGGAGCCAGGGCCCGCGCTCTGCCTTGCCACGTGGGCAAGGGCAGGGCTACAAAGTGCTTCTCCTCACCTGCCTGTAGCGACTGTAGCGGGGAGGGTGGGTATATTTTTTTGTATGTCCTTCCCCCTCCCTTAAATAGGCTAAGTTCAGTGCAAAGGCTGGTATGCAGTAACGCTCTGCTAAACAACAGGAAAAACATCCTGCACCAAAGCTGGTAACCTGCTCCAGCAGTTTCTGTCTGAATACACTTACTAGAGAAGAGGACAGAATGGAAAGCAGGAGTCCAGTCTCCTCAAGGCTGCTTATTATTTTTATAAAAGGACAACAGCTCCGGAGGCGGCAAGAAGCTGAGGAGGAGCACGAGGGAGCTCGGAAGCTCCCTGGGAAGCTTGTGCCCCACCACGAGGCGCTTGCTGACAGGAGAGCCCGTCTGCACGCACAGCTTACTTCTCTTTAAGATACCACCCCTATCGCTCAGCGTGCTTTAGTGTTCACAGGATGCCTCAGCTTCAGAGCACATCACTGGCAGAAGCTCGAGGGTTACACGAGGGCCTTGCACCCGCTAGCAGCAGCAGCCACCGCGGAGCAGCCACCGGCTGCGCACACCTGACCCAGGTCTCCAAACAGGCTGCATCTGTTCGCTTCTCAGGGGCCTGGCATTTTGAGGCTGCTGTTTCCACTGCCTGCAACGGCTTTCCATCGTGCCTGACTGAAAATAATCTCCAACAAACCCCTTACTATTTAACAAAAGTGCTAAAAGAGCCAAATATTTTTATATCCTTGCAGTTTACAGTGGCTGAAGTTAAGTGATGTTATCTTGCAATTGCTCAAGTCCTGGAGAGACACAGGGAGAGTTTTTTGGCATCAGAGCCATAGCAAGCTTGATCACACTGCCAAATGGGGACCAACACTAGCCCTGGACTCGTGGACATTGCAAGGAAGGAGAGGATGAATCTGAATACCCCATCTCACCTTTCCCCATGCACAGGAGGTTGCAAAGCGTGAAGCTCTTGTACGTCTGCATGTATCTCACCTCCAGTTTTTACTTTGCACTTTTATACAAGCAGTTTTCAAGCATGAAATTCTGGACTTTGCATTTTGCTGACGCAATTGCCATTAACAAACCATAAGAAGTCACATTGATTATATAAAGGGCTAGTGGCTAACTTCACCTACATTTTCAATAATCAGAAGGTGAGCTCTACCTTGACAAAGATGCATACTTTTTGCATCCTTTGCATCCTCCTAATGCACTTTTTAAACCTATGAAACTTGTACTCTACTGTTGGTTGGGCAGGTTAGTCGCAATCCATACAGACACGTCCTTCCGGGTTCCTAAAAGGCCAGCTAGCACGCAGGAACGCCCCGGACAAGCTCCTTGCATGGATCCAAACTGTGCCATAGGCAGCAGCACAAAGATTATCCGATGCCCAATGAAAAAATGCAATCATTACATAAAATAAATCCCTTGATTCTCTTGCCAAAGACTGCCTTTTTTCAAACTCCTAACAGACTAAACACACACGGTCTGAGGATGAAGGTGTCGAGCACAACCCCCGCTAGCCTGTCCACACCACACTAAAGGTAAACTCAGTATTAGGGCAAGCAGGGGGGAGGATTTTAGTTAGCGAGGCAAGACCCGAAGGGAGGAGATGTCCCTTCTCCCAGCCCTGCCTGGCTGAGAGCCCTGCTGGCCACAGCCATGCCCTGTAACGGGGCAGGGCCTCTTGTCACACATGTGTCATGGAGATCCAGCAACTTTGCCAACTCCTCCTCTTGGCCCACAAATCCTGCCCTGGTGAACTGGGATTCAACCTCCTGCCAAGGGACTAATCCAGGCAGTGGAAAACAGAGCCATGCACCCAAGYAAGGGCTCTTTTCTCACCAGCTGAGCTCAGAGGCAGCAGTGCCACATTCTCATATTGCCCAGGCCCACGCACAGGGAACTCAGCTCAGAGAGATACAGCTGTGCTGAGCAGGGCAAATCAGCACTAGGCTGCTACAAAGTCACTGCTTCATAGTACTATGGAAATAGGGATTTAAATCCACAAGCCCAAACCTTAGAAAAGAGACACAGCTGGCAAAAGGATGGAATTGGAATTTACAGTAGAAAAGACAGCAGGTAAATAAGGAGAGGGGAATTAAACCAATGGAGCTATAAAGTATTCAGTGCAGTGCACTGAATACTGAACTTTTCAAGAAAGCTCAACTTTTCTGGACAAAACAAACAACAGAAAAGCACAAGACCTGCCCCTCCTCCCCAAAAAAAAACTTCAAGTACAAAATTTTCTGGTATCCTGGAAAACGCTTAGTTGTTTAAAGGGCAAAAAAATTTGGAATAATCTCTTCTCCTGTGGATCTTATGCTATTGCCAGAAGAGAAACAGTGTGAAAAATGCAGTCAAGACAAATGTGAATTGGGTACAAGCTCTCTGAAGACTCTAACACTCAGAACAAGAACTTTCACATTTCACAACTGCCTAACAAGATTAATACTTTCCATATTACACAGCAGGGAGAGGGTAACCAACTGAATCCTCTAGTGCTAAAAAGCTTATTTTAGGAATGAGGATAATTGGCCCTAGATGTCTTACAGCAATTCARGCTGCTTAACTTAGAGTCTGATACAATTTAGTCAAATCCTCATATCCAGTAATTATTGGTGAAATGTCTTCTTACTGTAGTTGCTTCTGCAGACCAATCCYCCTTCTCCCGTCTCCAGGATGAGGAGTCAATTAAATTAATTCTCATCTGTCATGTTGTTCTTACAGGACCACCCAYGTTGGGATAGGGTTTAAATTTGGTTTCTTTATAAGCTTTGCAGATTTCATTAAGTCAGACATATCTTATTACACGTTTTTATATAGCTTACAATGCTTTCAATATAGMCAAACTTCAGTAGCAGCGTATTTTGCAAATCCGCTGTCACCGAGTTCAACTGAAGACAGATACAGAGGCCAACTACCTTGTTAAATATTTTTAGAACAAATTCTGCCATTTCTAACCCCAGTATCAGTGTCCTTCCCTTAGAGATGGTGACTAAGGCACAGTCTCCATTTATCTCAGAGAAGCATCCTACGGAGTAGTGTCCTTTGCACTAAATAGCCCCAGGAACTGCTTCTGTAGCAAACATTTCACTTTTGCATTAGGTAACTCTTGACATTTGTTGCCAAGCAGATGGGAAGCTCATACTTACTGCGAGGAACAGCATGCAGTACATGGAGAACGAAGAGTGGCCAGAGTAGAAYGACAGCCTGGAAGAGAACAGAGCAGAGAGGTCAGGCCGTTTCACTCGCAGCACTCCGYGGCCTGCACAGAGCAGGTTCTCTTGTGGTGAAATGCAAACACTTCCCCACYTTCTCTTTTCTAGCCAGGAGTCATCACTTGCATCCAACAACAGGTGCTCACAAACAGCACAGACCTCTTGATTCAGCAGTTACCCAGTTCTTAAGCTGATCCCAACATCAATAGCAACTACAAATGCTCTGTGTAAAGCTTGACCATCAAGCAAACCCTTCCYGAAAATAAGCAGCAGTCCTTTAAAGCAGGCTCTTTGTTCTGCCTCCTTGATGGCTATAAAAGAAGCAACACCAACAAAYCCAGCTTTTATCTGATAGTAAACATTAATAGCACCCAAACAATTAGTGTTTCTACATGGTCTCCATCAAGAGGCAGTAATTAACTACTCCTGCTCCTATTTAGATGTTTATAGATGTGTTTATTAAATATACTGATTCTCACGGCTGACAAAAGTGAGTCACTGAAGGGAAGAGGGGAAGAGTCAGGAAGAGCTTTATGCCTTTAAAGCCAGTGCTCTAGCTAGTCAAACACAGGAGCTGACACATCATCTAACATCTAGAAATAAACGAAATACCCGAGTATGTCTCTAAGAGGACAACACGGCCTTCAACTTCTGAAGGCTTTTAGGAGGTCCAGACTGCAGCAAAGAGCCAATYGATGCTGAGAATCTTCAGGACACCTGAGAGCACCCCATGAGTTCCTCCCATACATGGGATTTCCAAGAGAAAGCAAGGAATGAGATGGAGTCGAGATGGAGCTTCTAAAATTGGAGGAAAGGCCTATGCATCAATAGGAATGATTCATTTCATTGTTCACTTCTTTATCAAAAAGATAAGGCTTTAGCCAAAATAAAAGACATTTCTGAGAGAACCTGAAGAGAGCGATGAAAGAAACTAAGCTTAAACTATACATGTTACTTAATACCCATGTGTAACGGAGCTGGCAACCTCACAGGTTATGAATAAGACGTAAACCAAGTTATGTGTCTGGATCAGGATGCCGTGCGATTCACGGCAGAGCAGAGCAGTCCTCTCTGGCAGGGAGGCCACACGCAGGCAGCGACAGCGGAGCAACGGGTCCTGCAGCTCCCCGGGCGGCCTCCACCACAGGCAGAAGCAGCCCCTTCCTTTAGCACCTTGGCCAGGTAGAGCGCCCAAATCAAAAGTCAATGGAAACATTTCTACTCCTTGGACCATGAGCAATGAAGGCAGCTCTCCAACATGCAGCAAATCATGATCGACTACTCAAATATCATAAACAGGACAATAAACAACCTTGTGCACAAGTGAAACTAACTCAGCACATTAAGGATCTTTCCAGTGCCTGCTGCAGGAAAACACCCACATTTCACATTTCCCCACAGGTTGCAGAGCTCTTGCTTGACCTCATAGTCAAGGCCTTGTCAATAGCTCTCAGTTCGAAAGATGCTGAACAAGAAGCCCCAAAGGATTTTTGCATATGTGGTTACAGACATTTTTCATTTCAGTTCTTAAATAGAAAAACTTCATCAGTCATTTGTTATCTTCAGATGTTTAAAACACAAAAGCATTAAGTTTAAGATGAGCTTTGCTCGTTACTAACTAGATAATCCCTCTCCACTTTAGCACTGCTGAAATCTCTTCTGTAGCCATAAGCTCTGGATAAAAGCCCATTACAAAAGTGAATAAAATAAGAATTGCAAAGAGCTCGGTCCCTTTCACACAAGCCACAAAGCTAAGCAAGCTGTTCTATGAGACAAGCTATAGAATAATTAATTCCTTGTTCTCATCCAATTCCAACATTTTATCCCCTGAATTTGGTTCTACTACCATTACCTGTAAAGCAAAGTTCCTGGCAATTCCTAAAGGCAACATTGTCAAATGAAGAAATCTGAACGGTTAATGAATGAGAATGGGAATAAAGATCTAAATTTCCTTTGGAATTCCTATACCACTTTATAGGTTTTTGTTGATTACTGCCATTTTGGAGCTAATACATGCCTAAAAATCAATAAAATGTGTAGAATGTCATGTTCCAAGTTGAAGATGAAATTAGAAATGCACTCTTCTGATCAGGCGTAGATAAATATGCTCTGCACGACTGAATATTTTGTGCTTGGCACAAAACATTGCCAGAAATACAACTGGGACAACGTATTGATCCAACTCACTTGTTGTGCAATCCCAGTGAAATATCTTTGGCAATATCACCGTCTCTCAACTTCTAAATAAAAAACATGCTTAAAAAGGGGAGAAAAAAAATGCAGACTTCAAGCATCATCTGTCCTGAAACAATGGCAATGTTCCTGGTTCTTGCTCAGCWGGCCGACGAGCCTCTTCCCAGGCCAGCAGAACGTCCCGTGCACCCGGGGAGCCGAGCGGGCGCMCGGTGCAGCTCCCTCGTCACCACAGGCCGTGCTGGCTGCGTGAGCCCCCGAAACACGGCAGTGCTACAGTAAAATGCATGAAACAGGAGAACAACCCGACCCCTATGCTTGGTTAATGAAGGAAAGAATAATCTCAGTAGGAATTGGCACATTAGGTTGCATGACCATATGTTTTTCAAATAAACATTAGAGCAGCTCCCAGCAAAACTAATCCCCTAAGATTGGAAAGTGCAAAGTCTCTCATTTTAATTGTTTTTGTAATATTAAGTCCAACATCAAAGAAGAGTTTTGCCAAGGTCCATACCTACCTCAAAGTATCACTTCTGATGAGAGTTTTAAGGCTTCGCTAAAATAGGAAAAAGCAGAATAACCTTTAATTATTGTCCTGCATCTTACTATTGAATTACAAGAAAGCCTTAAAAACTAACACCAAGCCTAATCATACCATCACTTTCTGGTGTATATAGTTGGACAAAACCAAAAACAAAATCCACAATTACAGTTAGTCACTGCAGTCTGTTGCAAGTTTGCATTTTTAAAGAGAACTTCAAAAAGCAGCTGAAGGATGAACCATCCTTCCAAAGAAGTAACTGAGATGGATGCTGAACCATTCAGAACTTTACCCAGGTTTTCTAATTACAGACAGGCAACTCTAAGGAATTGCTTCTTACTTCATTTCCTTCTAATCTATTTCATTCACCTGAAGCAATTCAGTGCACAGGGCAGAACCCGAGTGGCAGAAGCACCATGTCTTGAACCACATAAGCTGGAGAATTAACCTTGCAGTACAGAAACTAGATTGTATCGCCCTGCAAGAAACAGCATGGTTTTGTAAACTTTGTTTGTCAATGTTTTACAGAGTGAGTTATTAAGCAAGTGTACCAGAAATTCAAAATACAGCCTGCATTTGGAGTTCAGGAAACCAACTGATACTGTGTCTCCATGCAACTTGATTGCAGGAACAACTTAATGTGCAGAAAGTGCACTCCTCTGCAAGAGTCTGACAGAAAAATCAATAGCCATAGTGAAACAAGGGACTAGGAACAAGCTAAAAAGTATACAACATGACAGGAAATCGAAAGACTATTAGTCTTTTATACCAGAAAGGAATAGATGAATAGGAGCTTATTTTGTGGTGCCATGATAAATCTGGTAGAAGCTAAATGGTAAGGGAACCTTCCCAATAAAGGACTTATGGAATGACCCCTCCAGGAGAAAGGCCCAGTCGTGTTATAAACACTTCCACTTCAGCCAACAAGCAAGCAAAGAATGGGCTGGATTAGCCAGCTGGTCTGTTCTCCCCTCAGATCCTTCAGGGTCAAGTCAGGCTCAAGGCCCCGCCGACACTCGTGCTACACACRCCATTCACCTGGGCACAAGAACATCCCGCAGCAAAGCCTGGTGGTTTCAAGCAAGCAAACTCTACAGAGTGGAGGGATTTCCCTCAGTGAAAACTTGATTTAACAAGCAGCAAATCGTACGCACAAACTGATGCAACACGTATTCCTTAAAAAGCACAACCTGCGCATTCAGAATTAAAAAAAAAAAAAAACCACAGCATTTAAGCTCCATTCTAAATTCCTAAATTGCTGGGGACTTGCACAACTTTGTCTAACTACAAATTCCAAGAACAGGAGTGTGGGTTAAAGGCTTACGTGGTACTCTGAACTGAGACACCTCGACAGTTATTTCCGAGAGATATCTGAATAAAGGCCTAAGTCACTTGTTTAGTAATATTAGCAACAAGTTAGGACTCAGAAATCCATTTTCACAAAATAGTTTTGTACTTTCCCTCCCCCTCAGTAGTTAGGTTGATACTTATGATCAAGGTCTTTCACTTGCAGAGGAGAGAAAACAGAGACTTCAAAGCCGCCCAGCTCGGGGTTCCTGAATTGCACTGACAACGTATTTGCTGACGTGCTTTGTACGATGCCCTGCTCCTATCTGGGGTGCGTGTGGAGCTACACAGCTCACTCAACACACAGCAGCTCACTCAACACACAGGGTAGATCCGAAGGCAGCGTAGCTGTTTTTGACACTTGATGTTTCATGAGAGCCACCTGAGCCTTCTGTGCAGGTGGCCTGTGAAGGAAAGTGTGCAGTTACTTGTCTAAGCAGGTTTCTATCTTCACTGTTTAACCCACTGACATAAACCATATCTAGCAGCCCCTGTTAAGAAATACCTTTCCCCTTCACCCTTCTAGAACAAGTCTCAAGATGGTTCCAAAACGAAGGGCAGAACCCAGCCTTTTCTTAAGCCCACAATGAAACAAAGTGGTTAATGCAGCTATGTGCACTACAGGGCTTGTCCTCATTGCAAAATAGCAAAGATTTTTAAATATCTGTAATGAACTTCCACTGGTTTCTTTGGGCACTGAAGAGATGAGCATCGCAGCATATGAGCATGCAGACATCATGTAAAATGAGTTTTGTTTTCACAAAAGCATTACGTACTCATGGAACAATCTAACTGGCAATCACTATTAACTGGCTATTCTGCATCTGTCAACAGTTGTGCTGCAGGAATAAACTTTACTGTAAAATAATCCATAAGGAAAAATCTCCCTCCCCTACTACCCCATTTCTCTT